AGTAACTTCACTTATCGTTGTTTTTTTACTCCACCCAAAATGTTACTCTGGAAAGAATCTGGAAGTCGCATAACTTAATTCCAAGCCCAGTATAACGAAATTGGGGTAGTGAAAGCACGGGGGACAGCACTACTACGAGCAATAGCTACCAAAATGTTTTACTGGTCTAAATTTCTACTGGTCTGTTCTTCGCTTTCCCTTTTCCCAGATTTTCATGTTTTGAATGATTTGTGCCATTGGTAGTTCGTTCGCATTAATTTGAGCTGGCCTGTGCTTCATCAATTAGCGAGAATTTCAAACTGCTAAATTGATGATAATATTATCACGCATGGGGTAATTACAATAGCTTCAACAATATATCCATAGCAACTTCACTGGGGGGTATCGTGATGCAACAACACCGTGTTGTTGCATCAAGATGGCCAGACTTCCGGTGATAGATTTTCGTACGATGTTTTGTTTTCCCAATTTACACCCATTTCTAGGACGAGTTGCTCATTAATCATACACATGCAGTTAGCCCATGATATATATTTTAAAAAACTGTCATTGGTATACATGTAGCATCATCAAGAAGCGATAAATTCGTGGTTTTAATTCCTCACTATTGATGCAACAACACCACTCTGTTTATTTTCGATGATGCAACAACACCAATGTGCTGATGCAAAAACGCCAATATAATGTATCATTGAACAACAAGAGAAACTGTTTTATTTTCTGTTTACAGGTGTAGGTCGGGACATGAATAAAACGCGTGAGTCAGTGGTCCATGAACGAAACGTATTTTGTTTGATTTCTTTGTCTATATCAAAGTTAAAAGGATATACAAGGCAAACTAAATAAAGTACAGAATCCCCGGGAAGCAATCTCATTGATATTGTATCTGATAATATAAATATTATACATTTTCTAAATTAAATGCCCTTGATTTACCGTATGGAAATTGCTTACAAATAACTAATATTATTTTGGAAAGACAACAGATATCAGTCATTCTATGTTAGTACCTCAATTGAAATACTCAATTCTGATTGGTTGATGAGCGGGCAACAAAATATATTGTTAGTACCTCAACTGAAATACTCGATTCCGATTGGGTGATTAGCGGTCAAAATTATGTACTGTTGACCGCTACTAGGTACTGTTGACCGCTACTTCTGAAAAAACATGGAAGACGGACATTTTGTAAACGTTGATGAAAATGACTTTACTAGGCGACAAGTATAGCAAAAATACAAATAGAAACTTAAAATCAAAATTAATTCACTAACGAGTACGCCATGATGTGCCAAATACAGAGTTAAACTACTTGCACTGTCTCCAGATTTTCTAAAAAAAATATTGCTCACGTGGTTCGGAGAAAAGGTTGTGAAATGAAGCCATGCTGATTGATGATTGTCGTCTATATGTGTATTATTAGTTTACTCGGACTAACAAAACAATTGTAGACCTCTCCATTCGATCAACCGTCAAAATCATATACCTCGACTGCAAACCTTGAAACTACTGTTGACCTCGACCTTCGGTCTCTGTCACCAGTAGTTTTTCGGTTTACAGTCTCGGTATACAATTTTGCCGGTTGACCTCTGGGGAGGTCAACAATTGTAAACTGTTGATCTCTACTAGGTACTGTTGACCCCTATTTTTGAGAAATTGTTTTTTTAATGTTGAAATTTTTTTAATTTTGAAAAAATAAGTTGTGTAAAAAATATTCGACGGTTTGGGGATTTTTTGCTAAAATATGATACCTTTACTTATCAAATATGTTCACGTGATATTCGATTATATATTCGTCCAATTATTATATTATTTGGACTAACAGAACAATTGTTATCCTCTCTTTTCGGTCAACTGGCAAAGGTGTCCTTGTCCTCTGGTCTTGATCAACAGTACTTTCAAGGTTTACAGTATCGGTTTACAATTTTGCCAGTTGACCTTAAGAGAGGTCTACAATTGTATATTATATCCTTCAAATTATTATATTCTTCGGACTAACAAACAATTGTTAACCTCTCTATTCGGTCAACTGGCCAAAGTGTTTACCTCAACAGTAAACCCTGAGAGTACTGTTGACCTCGACCTCCGAACTTTCAAGGATTACAGTATCGGTATACAATTTTGCCAGTTGACCTCAAGAGAGGTCTACAATTGTATATTGTATATCCTTTGTTATCCCACCCAAAGTATGAATTGAAGAGTTGTATACTCTCTAATAAAGTCAATTAGGAACGTTTTTACACGTTGGCTCTCCAAATTGGAGGAAATAAAGAATCATATCATATTATATCATAGATGAAGCAATCATCCTAGTCAACATATACAAGCTCACGAATGTCACAGTTAAACTGTTTTAGTTATAATTTGATAAACAGTGGTAACATACATCTACTAGTTTACCACTGTTCCACAGATGGATGGCAGATAATTTCCAATAGCTCATCATGTTTACCGAGAACGAAAGATGTTTGTCCACCATTTTGAATGATACTAACTGGAGTCAGGGTCATCAAGCTATGGAACAGTGGTTTATGAAAAGAGATTGGGTTACTAAAGCTTGCCATGTTAAAGGCGATTGAACTATGTTATAGAACAACGTCCAGTACATTATAATATTTATAAGTATAAATTTTTGAAAATACATATAAAGGATCTTCGCCTGCAGGACGTGTATTTTGAATGCCTTAAGAAGAACGCAAATATGGGTAATGGGTAACGGTGTTGCAATAGAAGCATTTAAAAATCTGTTCCTCTCGAGATTTATGGTCTTCTGAAATTATGCTATTAATTGGTGTTGCTGCATCATTGCTCAAATCTAGAGGAGTGTTGTTGCATCTTCGGTTTGGTGTTGTTGCATCAATAGTGAGGAACTAAAACCGTGAACTTATTGCTTCTTGGTGATGGTACATGTATACTAATGACAGTTTCTTTAAATATAGATCGTGCGCTAACTGCACGTGTATGGTTATTGAGCAACTCGTCCTAGAAATGGGTTTAATTGGGGAAACAAAATATCGTACGAAAATCTATCACCGGAAGTCTGGCCATCTTGATGCAACAACACGGTGTTGTTGCATCACGATACTCCCCAGTGAACTTGGGGACCTGATCCACAGGGAATACATATGATGGTGGACTTTAATAGGTCTTTGTTTAGTATTGATAATGTCATAATCTAATAAACAAGACCAGATAACCATTCTGTATCAGATCAACAACTGTGTTCGATATCTTGAATATTTCTTCTAACAACCATGTTCGCACAATCAGTTTTCAGACGGGAGCCGAGTGAACGAAGATGTAAAACAACATAAACATTTTATTAATTATTGGTATTTAGAATTGTGGAAAATAAATGAAAATGATCATCATGCGGAACTACCAATATTCCTGCTAATATAGGCTCTTACTAAAAATTGAAATTATACTGTTGAAAAGGGTAGTTTATATTTTTCAGTAATCATGATCAATTTCTTAATCAGTGTTTGTATACACTAATTGTTTTCATCAAATGGAACTTTTTTCATTTGAAGATTAACTTTTGGTCTTTGAAGAATGACATATATGCCTCTACTGTGCAATTTCTCCATTACTATGTTAAACGCCGCCATAATGAAAGCAATCATTCACTTTTAATTTTGATTTATTCCTGAGACAAATTATTCCCTTGTCATTTTGGGTTATACTAAGCATACTGATCTAGAGTCTAATCAAGCAGATGATATGTATGCTGCGAGGATTTATCATCTCAGCCTGACAACGTATCCAGTCTTACGGGTGCCCTTGTCAAAAATATCATAAATGGTAGAGTGAAAATATTTCACTTCTTTGACATACCGGTGTAAAAGAAATTATGGTCGCCTGGGGATTATGGTCCCCTTTCCTTACGGCCCTGACTGTAAAAATAATAAGGAAAATAATTGTAATAAGGTCACCATATAAATCAATTGAGAGTAGTCCCAACATTTGATAGGACCACCTACCCTTTTACACCTGGTTCTGAAAATGAAACAATTCTGGTAAAACAAACCTCACCTCGCTCTTCTTGTGGGATTATGGTGAAAAGAAGCATGTCTCTTTATTAATTAACTCTTCCACCTAACAACTTCAACAACTGACATATCATTTCCAATAAATTTCAAATGTACTTTACACATGGTTGACTTTAACAAGAATAAAAGGAAATACATCATCCTCTTAAAGCTACCGAAAGGGTTTGACTTTCTTTGGAATATCCTTTCCTCTTTTCATGTAAAATTTTCATCTACTATTAGGTCATTATTTTAGGACAGGGTGATTCCTTGATAAATGTATTATTTCTTCATTTCCATCAGAGGACTAACATTTATACGGAATGAGCAGAATATTTTTTCTGTTACAAATGCTGAACCCCAAGACTGAGCACCAATGTCATCAAAAGATCACACTTAATGGTGGCATAATAACACCTTAACCAGATGTATATATGATGGCTACATCAATTTTTTGAACTCTATTTGATCCTATGACAAACACATCTACGAGTATGACAGAAAGACCCAAATAAACTGAGTATTGATTTTTAATTCAAATAATGACGTCACTATGGTAATTAATCTTGTTCTTAATGAGGTTCTTCATGGAAGAAAATCTTTAGATGTCCAGAACATCTGACAGAATAGATTTCACCCAATAAACCCAACACTTAAACCAATGAACTAACTGTTTCCTAAACCCAGAAACATATTGACATACAACTGAACTTAAATGAAAACGTGTAAAGTAAGCATGAACTAAAATCAGGAGTCTAAAAACCAATTGTAGGCGTGGAATAACAAGAAAATCATATTGTTTTTTCAGATTTTAAGAGAGATGTGACAAGCCAACCAACATTAATTTCAAGCAGGGGCAGCAGCTATTCATCATGTTTATTATATATAGAAGCCAACGAGATTATATTTTGATAAATCAGTTCTACTAATTTTCCCTACTTCATATCAATATCTTTATTACTTAAGTATCTTGTTATCCGAACAGTATATTTTCACCATCAAAAAGATTTTTTCTAAATCTAATAAACAATATAAAAGAACTGTATTTTTGAGGAGTGGACTTGAATCTCTTTATGGCCTATTCAATTCTTATTCTCATCCCATAGTCTATTCATGCTCTGTATTCCAAACTGGTGAATCAATTTTTCAAGGCCTGAGAAAAGTCTAGATGATCAACTTGATTTTTTCTATCCAATCTTTATTCTCATGCCTTGATCAGTTGAAGATTAAGCCCCTTAGGCAGCTTTTTTGTTTATTTTTTCCTTTTATTCTTTTTTGCAAATTCATTTTCATTCAAACTGGAGTCATAATTTCTGTATACAACGCTGCCATCTATACAAGAAAAAGTAAGTTTTAATTCAAATCTGTGCATCTTTTTCCTTTTTCATTTGCAGTCTGTATTATGTTTTTTGAGATTACTTTTGGATTTAGCGTCTTACCACCAATGAATAAAAGAACATTGGTGCAATAATACAAATGTCTTTGATAGTTTGACACTTGATCTTCTACTTCACCATTTGTGCCTGTAGTCTATGAGATATATCCTGAAGAGTTTGTCTTAGTCTGTCTGGATCATTGTGGAAATAGGTGTACAGTTCCCTTTCTATACGTTTCAGCGGATCAGCCTGTAATAACTGGAAACAAATAGTATGACAAATGAGACATTACTCTTTCCATTTTATTAGCTGAAATATGCTCTTGTACCAAAAATTAAAATGTTCAATGTTTGACCAATAAGAACTTTTCTCTTTATAAAGTGAGCTGAATTCCGATGGAATTAAACGACAATTTTTCATTTATCCACTTAATTCTTATGAAAATACCTACATGATGGGCACATACATCTATCATTTATATATTATTATGTGCCTGTCAAATGTATCTTATGATGGTGATAACACACAATTTTGTCAACCTCTACATCTCATTTTCTAGTTTTTCAATTATCTTTTTTGTATTTACAATGATGAAATGTGTCAATTCTTGAAATATAAATAAAATATGTTTCTAACCTGGAGTACGGTATGGTCAAATTCAATTTAAATTTTTCAATTTCAATATATTAATAAATAGATATGCATACAACAAGATGAAGGGAGCGAGACACCACTGAAAGGTGTTAAATGACAAAAAACGTAAAAACAAAATCAAATTAAGAACATTTTGAAATTTTTTCTTGCAATTTCAGCTACTCCCTTTCAGTTACCTTTTTCTTTTCTTGAATCCCAGTGGCAATGTCTGTTATATTAGCTTCTAGCTTATCAATGAGCTGCTCCAGATGAAGGGAACTGTCCAACAGCTGTTGGGGGCTGAGCAGTGGCTGTGTGCCTGAAGTGGCTGACCCTGCATACACTATTGTCTCACACAGCTTCACATTTTGTTCACTGAAATAGCAAGAAAAGGGATTAAAACTTTGAAGGATGTCCATGAGAGTAATCCTTCACGCAAAAATATGAGAGCAGTTTAAAAACAAGTGACATTTCAGAATTCGATGCAATGAAAAAACTGTAAATGCTGCACAACAGAAACTTACTGTGACATACCTTTCCTAAAGCAAATCATCAAATTATATTGTTAATTCAGTTTATGGAATATTTTAAGATGTGGCTTATTTGACACACCATGTATCAAGGAGGTTAAGATAGACATTTTTAAGAGAAATTGCACATACATTTGTTTAATCATTGATTGTCCTCAAGAGACGAATTCTCCACCTTCATAGTATTTATTTGCTTGATTGAGTATAAAGGCATGAACAGAATAGTAATCCTTGAGATGTCATAATATTACATTCATTACAGGTTATCTCAAACATATAGTTTAACCTCTCTAATTATATCCAATGACCAGAATATTTTAATGATGTTCATATTTCATAATTCTTAATATCTAAAAAAATGAGTGTGTCTTACAGAATGGTTAATCTGTCATCTTGATAGCTATTGGCTGATGAAAGTGAGGCTCTCAAACCAGTGATGTCACTATTTAACTTGTCAGCTCCATTGACAAGACCAGAGTATGTGATGAATAGCTGCTCCTTGCTTTCATTGTTTCTTGGACCTAGAATCAAAATTACATATTGTATATGTATTCGGATTCTTGCAATATATTGAATAATGTATACAGAACTGCAATTCTTCAAATGTTCTATGTTTTTATATAACAATTTTGATGATAAATAGACATTCAACACAACCTGGCAGTCTCGGTAAAAGGCGTGCATACAAGAACACATTCATTGAATTCACCAATGATTCATTGAGACTGGAGCCAGCATGAATCCTCTATTTTTGTGTGGGTGCTTACTTTTCATTCTGAGTTCATGACAGATCTGAAGTGAATTTGTAGCAATCTCCTCATGTTATTTCAATTGTACAATATTTGCATTCAAATTTAATTTTTTTTGTTGTAAATGTCACATGAAGTTGAAGTTGCTTCAGAATTACGCAAGCTAGCCAATTCTTTTTGAAACACCTATTACTTTAATTAACCTACCTATAAATGATATCATATACTCTGCTAAAGGGGTCCCTTGTTTCAACAGTTTCTGATTATAATACTTTAAAAACATACCTCTATTATGAAGTGTCTCGAAGGGATCCATAATATGGTGCTTTAAAGTTGTACTCAAACAGTTTTACTCGAGTTAGATACATTATGCTAAACCAAAGCATATTAAAGAGCCTGAGCCAAAAGGGCCAATTTCCTCGTCGATATGTTTTACCCTCTTCATAATTGTTCGCAATAAACACTTAATCGCTGCATGCATATGTGACCGTTGATACAAATGATATTTTGATTTTGTCAGGTTTGTATTTAAACAGGTATATTCTTTCATATCTTGCTTTTTGCACGAGAAATATGTAATACAAAAAACAAACAAAAAGCAACTTATTTTTTGTTAACTTCTTGTCAAATGTGGGTATTTAATTACTTTGTCACTTTTCCTTAAGAACTACCATTCAATTCATACAGTTACATGTGTTGAACTGTGCCATTATTCAAAGCATCATTTTGTTTTTCACATAGAAGCAAGTATTTAACCAATGGTGTCTTCTATTTCGCTAATTATTTTCCTCGTCGGCATGGCCAATAGCATTGGTTTAGATATTGTTGTAACGAAAAAAATCGAGGGAGTATTTCGTGGGTTAATTACAAACTATTAGATGATTCTTTTTATGAGGTTTTGGTAAAAATATAATTTTATCATTTTTTCACTTTACCTCATTCTGAATTTTTCATGTTTTGGCATCTTCACTGTGAAACATGGTGAAGAGGAAACTAAAAAATTCCTACAGCAATGGCTATCAGATTTAGATAAATCTAAAACTTCATATTTCACATCTTGTAACCTATTGTAACAACAAAAAAGCACTAGATTATATATTACAAAACTTAGAACTTCAAATCATAATCTTCCTATAGAAACAGGGAGATACATAAAAAGGTTAGAGAGATTGTGTACCAAATATAACATACTAGGAGATGAGTACCATTATATTTCAGAATGTAAGCTTGTAAGTTTGTTGTCTAATATTAAATATTCTGTGCATTTAAGTAAATTGATGAAGATTACTGATGGTAGTGAATTAAACTAAACTGTATCATCATTGTATGTATATGTACTATTTTATACTCACAAGTGTGGGTAGAAATAAAGAATTAAGTAAAAATACAGAAAATCGATGGCGATAATACTGATTTAATACCTTCACAATGCATTGAAACGTACAAATAAAGCATATTTACCGAGTAGAAAGTGTCTGATCGTGGAAAAACTCAAAATGGTCTAACCAGAACAATGGCAACGCCAACGCGTAGCAAATCCCATCGAACAGAAACTACCCAAAATTTCATAAGACAGAATGCAATCCTTATGAGTATTCACATATCAAATATGAACAAAATCGCTCTATAACTTGTTGAGTTATAATAAAAAATGTAAAATAACACACATAAAAATGGTGGCCATTTTTCAAAATGGCTGACTACTCCCCAAAGTTTTATTAGACAATCTGCCATGCTTAAAGTATTCACACATCAAATATGAACAAAATCGCTCCAATACTTTTCGAATTATAGTAAAAAATGTAAAAATGACAGCCATTTTTTAAAATGGCCGCCTACTTCACAAAGTGTCATGAGACAGTGTGCAAGGCTCATGAGTATTTATCAAATATGAACAAAATCGCTCCACTACTTTTCAAATTATAGTAAAAAACGTAAAAATGGTGGCCATTTTTCAATATGGCCGCCTACTACCCAAAGTGTCATTAGACAGTGTGCCATGCTTATAGTATTCACATATAAAATATGAACAAAATCGCTCTACTACTTTAGTTTTAAATTATAGTAAAAAATGTAAAATAACACACATAAAAATGACGGCCATTTTTCAAAATGGCCGCCTACTACCCAAAATGTCATTAGACATTGTGCCATACTTAAAGTATTCACATACAAAATATGAACAAAATCGCTACACTACTATTTGACTAACAGTAAAAAATATTAAATAACACACATAAAAATGGCGGCCATTTTTCAAAATGGCTGCCTACTACCCAAAATGTCATTAGACATTGTGCCATGCTTAAAGTATTCACATACCAAATATGAACAAAATCGCTCCACTACTTTTCAAGTTACAGCAAAAATCGTAAAATGACGTGCAAAGGCAGCCATTTTTCAAGATGGCTGCCATGTATTTCTTCTTTATTTACATTTCTAGCTTAATCAATGTCCTATATAACTTTTTTACATTTAAAACATATTGCTATTACAGTTTTATATGCAGTACCTAAATTACTGAAAAATCGGCACTAAAATGGCCATCATTTTTAAATGAGTGACCTTTTTGTACAAAATATGAATAAAATCAGGCCAACGGTATTTGAGTTATTGCCGGACGGACGGAGGCGTTCCCTATATTCATCCGAACCTTGTTCGATGGGATAATAATAATGATATAAATTGGGCAAGATTTGAGCAAATTTGGAAAAATTTGAGCAAAATCATTCCAAAGGGTCATTTAAAATGTACAAATTATGGCAAAAGGTCCATGTGTGGTATGGCAAGTGATTTTAGACAGCCATATCTTTCACCATGAGTACTTTCTGGGCATAAATACAGTGGTTTTTATTAAGACAATATGTTTTCTTTCAAGTGAAGTCCCCATGGTGATAAAAATATCAAATGAACAATTAGAAAAATTATAAATAGGGACCCCACGTCAACATTTTTTTCAAAATGTTGAACTTATTTGCTTCTTTTTCTGAATTTTATTGCATGAAAAGATTTTTCAACGAGGGGTCTAAACATCTTCAAAATCCAAAATCCATAATCCAAAATAGAACTAATTGACATAGGTTCGACTATACTATCCCAATAAAGCAGCCAGCCATTTACAATAGAATATGCATTTTTACTGCTATGAATGAGTGGAATTCACTGTCACCAAAAATTAGAAGTTCAAATAACTTAAATATTTTCAAATCAGACCTTAAGAAGGATCTTATAAATGCTAAACTGATTCGTACTTCAGATCTTGATCTGAACAGAGGATGCGAGATTATTTTTAATAAAGTTAGATGTGGTCTTGCCTTTAAGTCTCACATTCACATAATTTAACAAATGTGGAGACTCCTGTATGCCAATGTGGCTACAAAAATGAGACTACCTTACATGTAGTTTTTGGCTGCACACTTAGATTGAGATTTTTTCATTGAACTAGAGGATGAACTTCAGAACATACAAAATTTCAACTATCAAGTGTATAAGTCCCAACAAGACAAGCTATCTCTTTTTGTGAATGGTGATCAACTCTTACCATTAAGAATAAATGTATGTATTTTAAAGCTCAGTGCACAATTCTTTGAGAAATGTTTTAATGTCTAGTCATCTTATCCACCACCCACTTGTTTTCCTTTAAACTTGTTCTTTTTTAAACCTGTGACCAAATATATGTATTCAAATGTAGTTAAACGAGGCTATTAATGTTTTAATACACAGCCGCTACTTGTATTTACATTTTGAAACAATTAATTTTAATGAATAAAACTGAATAAAAAAAAATCTTCAAAAGTAGAATGGTATTAATGGAAATTGTTTTTATTTTGGAAGCAAACTCTGTGGCGGTGCTAGTCTTCAACTAATTCTATTCCGAGACACTGAATGGGAGTTTGGGCTGGAAGCTAACACAGAATGGGCACAAATGTGTAAAAAACAACATTTTTCAACCGACCAATTTTATTGGTAGATTAACCACGAAAAAAATCGAGCACTGTTTGAAAATATTCTAATGTTACTAGAAAGATAAATGTCTTCCCAAACGAATACACACAAAATAAAACTTGAAATCCTTAATGTATTGCTTGGATATTTTTTTAAAAACCTACATCAAATCTACATCATTGTCTTTGCTTCTTGACACCGTACATCTAAAGTGTACGACGGCTTGTTTTGTCCTTGTACATTATTGATGGTTAGGCGTGATGATGTGAATAGTGTCCTTCTTTGACTCTATGTTTTACATTTATTTTATTTTTGGTGGCTATTTTAAAATGGATTGGGGCGTAGTTCAAATTCTATTAGTACTTGAAGTTCTAAATGTTATTGACATTAATCTAAAGGGATATTCCTTACCAGTAACCAGACTATATCTCTCCTTACATTTTTTTATATTTATCTTATTTATTTAGGTATACACTTTTTAGCAGTGGCACTTTTACATTAAGGTGCACCTAATCGGAAAATATTTGTAATGCCTTGTTGGTTAAAAACAGCACATTTTATCAAACTAAAATGAGTCTTAAAAAGAACAAGGCACAGACGTGAACAATATCGTACCTAAAACACAGCAGTGTGACAGTGAAGAATTAAGGATGGAAAATCCAAAATGGCCACCTTAAAATTTACCCAGAATGCCCAAAAACTAATCAGTTCTTAACTTTGATACGTTGAAACATCCCTGAAAATTTCAGATGAATCCATCAAATGGTTTGGCTGGAAACCTGTAGACAAGTCTTGAAAGTGAAGATTTTAGGATGGAAAATCCAAAATGGCCACCTTAAAATTAACCCAGAATGCCCAAAAACTAATCAGTTGTTAACTTTGATATGTAGAAACATCCCTGTAAATTTCAAATGAATCCGTCAAATGGTTTGGCTGGAAACCTGTAGACAAGTCTTGAAAGTGAAGATTTTAGGACGGAAAATCCAAAATGGCCACCTTAAATTTTACCCAGAATGCCAAAAAACTAATCAGTTCTTAACTTTGATACGTAGAAACATCCCTGAAAATTTCAGATGAATCCGTCAAATGGTTTGGCTGGAAACCTGTAGACAAGTCTTGAAAGTGAAGATTTTAGGATGGAAAATCCAAAATGGCCACCTAAAAATTTACCCAGAATGCCCAAAAACTAATCAGTTCTTAACTTTGATACGTAGAAACATTCCTGAAAATTTCAGATGAATCTGTCAAATGGTTTGGCTGGAAACCTGTAGACAAGCTGAAAAGTGAGACGCCGCCCGCCCGCCAAGCTGACTACAATATCGTACCTTTATTAGGTACGATAATAAAAACATAGGCATGATAATATTTACTTGGTAGCTATATGGTAGCTATAACCATACACATACTTTCCATGTTTTGCAAAGCATGGAAAATGTTTTGATATGGTCAATTTTGATCACAATACCATAGTTACCATAGTAACCATTTTTTTGGTCCAATAAAAGAAAAGTGAATGAAACTTTTTGAATTAATTACTGAATTCATTTTACATATTCTGGGAAAATTTGAAATAAACAATCAAACAAGCTAAATATCTAATAGTGATTACTTTTAATCCTCAGAATATTGTCAATTCAATCAAAAAGAGACTACATATCTAACATTGATTACTTTTAATCCTAGAAATACTGTGAATTCAATAGTACTCGTCAAATAACATTACACTATGTGAATAACAAATATATGTGAAGTTGATGTTGAAGGATCAAGCTGAGATGCCATCCACTGGAGGCATTTCAACACCAATACATTTAATTATATTATTAATTATAGAGATCCCCAAGGCTTCCACACCAGGTCTACTACATTCTATTTTCTTTTATTAATTATCACATCAAAGAGGGATAGAGAGAAAACCTATTTCCATCTGTCTGTACATCCACCAGGGCGATAATTTAATAATAAATATCTTTGCCTGATAGAGTTTATATTTTTAAATTAAACTTATCTATTTAAATAAAATGCCATGATAGTTTTTTTAACATCTCTCGTTTCACCTCCATGTTAAACCTGATCATGCTTTTTATGAAGCGTACCACATGCCATGAGCTTTGAATCGTGCTATCTTTGGTGATAGCCCAAAAAGCCAATTATTATGCAGCATGACAAGTAATGGATTGTTCCAATATTTCTCAAAATTCTGACCTGAGACAAATCTAGATCTATCCAAAACTTTTATTTTAGGGGACATATTAATTGGTCGTTTTACCAATGGTAGTAATATCATATTTGTGTAAACTTGATCATTATGTTTAAAATGTTTCTCAAGTGCAAGTTCATGAATCTTTGTGATCAACTCCAGTGTGTAATTTGTTGGTCGTGCAAAGATAAAGCCACTGTTCAATTGTGCAGTGACATCACCATGTGCATCGTCTTCTTGAATTATGATGTCACAATCGCTGCAATTCAGATGAAGGAATGGATTTCTTTTATAAATAACATCTCCATCAGTTAGTAATACACTATAACCTAGTTTTAAGATTCGCAATAACCAGTATATTTTTTCGTTTGATTCCTTGTTAAATTGCATAGTGTTAAAATATGCGAGACCATAATTCTTTGATTTGGTTCCTGAGAAGTAGCATGAGATATTCTGACGTTCCAGTTTTTCAAAGCTATAGTCATCCTTGCATATTGGTAAAAGCAATGTGGTTAATTTTTTATCAATTCTTTCAAGGGAGAGACGCATGTTGAAGAACATATCAAAATATGCCTCATCGACAAATGTTAAAATGACACATGCATTAGTTCCTCTGTGATGTAAAAGACTATCAAGTGATGATATTTTCGTAACTTTTTCTGCTGCCCAATTTTTTCCTGTCCTGTTTTCTATTATAATTGTCCTTTCATATAACTCTGGTATTTGCTGGCCTGTTAAAGGTTTAGGTTCGTATATCCTTTGAACTCTTGTTATCCTAAATAGCAGAATATAACAAAGAAGTACTACACTTGAAATCATAGCAGCAAATACCTTGTGTGAATGTTGCATCTCTATAATATCTAATAATATCACAAGACCAGTGCACTGTCACTATAAATAAATAAATTTCTAATATATATATACAAGTGATATTTAGTCGTAGACAATACAATAATAAATTGCATGTATGTTAATGTTTATCCTGTATGGAGACTAGTTATAAGCATATGTGTCTCCAATACTGCAACTTTCTGCATTCCTACAACTCTAATGGAGTAATGATATTGAAAGCCTCCAACTTTTCTGGAAACAATCTAAAAGGTGATGGAAAGATGTCAGGATGAATGAATGAATTGCTTTCTCAATAACCCAGATGCAAATAGGTAGTTACCAGTTTTACCACCAGGTAGCTAATTCGGGCCAGATAACATATCAGATATAATAGAAAGTTCCCTTAGACTTGGATATTCATCAGTTCAAGTGGATCAATTTTCATATAAACCTTATGTGTCTGATAATTATACAAATGAAAATATATTAAAAAAATATTATCTGTCCAACACAAGAAAAGATATTTCACTTTTTTGTATACCATGGGGTCTTTGGGAATTTTGCCCGACCTGGAAGTTACATTTTCAAAGAAAATTAAATTTTCAAAGTCAATAAAAAGTATTCGAAGCAGGTACCAGTACTTAAGTAACCTACCTACAATGACATCCTACCTACACCTACCTGTAAGTCTGTTTATGGGATCCTTGGCTAGTACAGTTTCTATCTTATAATTCTTAATTTACATACCTATGACATCATAAAGTCTGTTTAAGGGATCCCTAGTGTCAATGGTTTCTCTCTCTCTAGTTTGCTTCAAACCTGGCTCATTCAGCATGGCCTAAAAACATAAATTATTTCATACTGAGGTTACTAGTGAAGCAATTAGATAATAGTTCATACAGGGGATAATAGAACAATGGATTAATTCTAGTAGCCACATTTCAAGATTTTGGATGGGCAAGCGATGTCATCACATCTTAGAAATGTACAAGTATTTTTTGTATAAAATTTTATGATGAATTATAGAAAAAACGACATTTCTTATTGGATGAACTTTAGATCACATTGTAAGTCTGCAATATAAAAATGTAAAGGTTTGTGACTTTTATTCACATAGGAGAAGTAAAGCTTCAGTCACATTTGCTCTATGGCGACTGTGCGTTGGCCTCAGCTTCACACAATGGATATTGAAAATCTACATCATACAGCTTATCCCTATATTTTATGAGCCATATGTCTCGACTTGGGGAAGCTACACTCACTAAGCTAATGTGACTGAGGCATTAGTATTACTTACAATTCTGTCTTGAAGCCCTTTGACATTTCTCTCCAGTTGCATTTTGACTGCAGCTAATAATCTATGGGTATCTCTATGGTTCCTGGCCTCTATCTCATACAGCATTGTGAGAAATTCACCCCGAGATCTCTGTTCTACTAGATAGCTTATCAACTGAAAATACACAACAATGAAATGCTTACATACAGAACATGAAGATGGCCAATATGGAGAAGTTATTCGTCAGCTTTTGACCTACCAATGAAATCTGTACATCCCAATCTATTCTCTGAATATCACAGAATACACTTTGATGCAGATAGGTTTTAAAATTCTGAATTGAAAAGTCAAGCTCTTGTGAAGGATACTTTTAATTTGATCAAATAAAAAATTACAGATAGAAATTTAAAAAAGGATTTAGGATTTGGATCTGATATCATTGATACTGATTTATTCTTACATGTGCATAAGAGTTCAAACTACAGGGTGTTTCATAATGACCATCCCCCCCATCCACAGGCAGTCCTAGGTATGCTATTTAGGATTGGTGGTTGATGGTGGGACAGTCATTATGAAACACCATGTACATCTTTACATGTACTTTTATGCTTTTATCTCTTGAAAGCCCATGCTCCTAATTGTACATGCACCTGTATGTACACAGTATTACACAACCAAGCATATCAACCAAATATTGACCATAAAGTTGAACAGGTTCACTCTAATTAATGAACTGCCAGTTTATAATACTCATCCTTATCCAATGTTGTTAATTTAATATTTTGTAATTGAACATCAAACAGCTGTTGGTGAAATATGTAATACTTTCTAAAATTTCTTGCCACCAAATCCTGACCCTTTTTGATGATCTAAAAAAACTGAAGTAAATATACCAATACGCGATAACGTTTAATTTCGTTCAGTTTAGCTATCTCTCGTTTGAAGAGCTCTCATGTATGGTACAACTTCGTCTACATCCGGGTTCTTTCCCATTGGATTACACAGGGGTGCTATTTTCAATGCCGCACTGCGGCTCTATTAAACATTTATGTAGAGTTTCATTTGCACAACAGATAGGTATGTATGTAATTAAGATATATGACAAAGCTTTTTGAGCTATAATCCCCAAATCCGAAGAAATCAGTAGTTGAAAATGCCGTCCAATTCCAGTGACGTCACTGATATCCCATAAATTGCTCAGACGCCACTGAAGATCGAAAAATATAAATAATGTTACTTTGAATCTCCGTTTATCTTTCTGATTATTGAATAGATTGGATTATATAACTATGCTTGAGGGCTGATGGAACATCAGAAGCTGAGAAACGTTCAGAGTAATCGACTCGTTCGGTGGGCCAATGAAAATTTGTCCCTTCCAAAGCGATGCATCATGGGAGATATTTATGTAAATTACCACCTGAACTCTTATCGCGAATAGGAGTATTGGCTAGGTTTATGTATCATAATTTGTAGATAGTAACTTCTGTAAATTAGATGCTATGAAGTTCCCCTTTCTACTTTGAAATTTTAAGAATAACATAATAATAGCCTGATTTACTACTTTTGAATTTTGAACAATGTGGATATTTTTCCATGCTATTTGGCATTTCAGAACATATGCTATATGTAATACAGAGAGCACATACAGGGGTTTCACTAGAATTTCTCACAACAGGCTAAATAAATGAAAACAACAGGCAAAATCAATGGAAATCATAAATTTAACATGGAAAAGTTAAAAAGTCCCTAAAAACAACAGGCGATTTTGTGAAAACAACCAGTGAAAATCGCATGTTGCCTGCTGCTAATGAAACACCTAATATATATTACTCCAGTATATCAAAATAATATTACATACATTAATGCTTACAATATACAAGTGTCACAAACATGTTTATTATTCCAAAATGTGTGGTTATCCCAGAACATGTTACACCACCTACATGGACATTACTGGGTGCCATGTGGAACTAATCAACATCTCTGACAATTTTCATACAAAAATAGCATTTGGATTTACATGATGACGTGTTTTATGTCCAATATATATAACGGCCCAATGTCCACAGATAAGACATGCGAGGATCATTTGGAAGACCTGTATGGACGGAGATACAGATTGATTCAAATATCTGAGGATAATTCAAGGTAGGTGACACACTATATGTTCACAATAAATATGTTCCATACATTAAAACTTTAGTTACTTTGAAAAAGTTTGTATAACCCAACTACAGTAAATAAGTCTTTGCGCACTATTGTTGACAAGCTACCTAAAACACTGTTATTTGTAATGTATTAATATTATATCGTAAATAATTCCTTGGAGCCATACATTAGACTGATTGATGAAATAAATGAGTCACATGCAAAAAATGTCAAATATGTCATAAACAATGGTCAGTTAGATCACATAAACACACTGTTAAGTACAGCCTGTGTACCATATTCTTTCTAAAAAATGCACAATAGTCATGTTTTGAGAAACTCTAAAGAATGCACATATAAAATTCAGATGGAAATAAGAACACACCATGTTTCAACTTCTATTTAGTTGTTATCACTATGTTGTAGATACTCTATGGCTTTCTTGAAACTATTTGTTATTAACGTTGCAATGGTGCACTTATGTATTATTCGTTGGGTGATTAAGCTCTTTAGAGAGAATACACTTTTCTCACTTTTTAATTCCTTGAGTCATAAATACTTTCAAGACAAAATATGTTGCCCCTGGGTGAAAATGTCTCAGTCTTAATCAATTAAAGTCATACTTAAAAAATGTGTTTCAATATTAAGATTATCTTATTCTATAGGTGGTAATTTCAAGTTCAATCAGTTCAAAGCATTTTACTTTTTCTTACTCTTTCAAAGGTTTGCCATGCCGTAATGTATGTAATAAAAGGGAGAGATAAAAACCTCAACCTTCGAAATAATAATGAAAAACGGAAAACTTTATTCTTAGAGCTATTGTAAAGATGTGCTTTATTGTTGAAGGCTGAAGTCATGAATTTGAGCTTCTTTGCTGGCCTGGTGGTCCTGACCATCTTGGCACTAAGCGTGGAAGTCCATGGTCAAAAAGGCAAAGGGAAACAAGGAAAGAGGCCAAAAGGTGAAGGTAAGATATAATAGTTAGTACAATATACTCTGTTGTGACATAAATATTATCATTTGATGATAATAATGATGGTCATAAATTTATAATGTTAACTTCTCCAAAATGCCGTATCCTCTCTAACAGACGCACATACTCCAATAAACGCACATCCGACTTTTCCAAGAAAGACTGACAAGTTGAAAAACAAAAATCTAGAAAAAATAAAATTTATTCGAGTTGGCTACAATAGGGTTATTATTGAATAATTACCTAACCGCTATCTTGAATAAAATATCAATGCTCAGAATTTTCATCAAATATGTATGACAAAGGAATGAAATGAGCTTAAAATATTCAAAATTTATTTTTTGTCAATCATTTGGAAAGATTCCTTGCTAGAACTGATTGTGACTTTCCTTAATTCTTCTCATAAGCAGATGAAGCTCCGTTTAGAACAAGAGATCCAGGGGCAACTAGACTAACACAAGCCTTAAATTCTACCAGACGCACGAGAGGGCCAGGTGGTCCTACTAGAGACCCAAATATAACCAGACCTACTAGAGATCCAAATGCTACCAGGCGTACACGAGGACCAGAGGCTTTTACAAGTGATGCAACCAAACGCACAAGAGACCCTAATCAAACCAAACGCACAAGAGACCCTAATCGAACCAAACGCACAAGAGACCCTAATCGAACCAAACGTACAAAAGACCCTAATCGAACTCAACGTACAAGAGACCCAAATAGAACCAAACGTACAAAAGACCCAAATAGAACCAAACGTACAAAAGACCCAAATAGAACCAAACGTACAAAAGACCCAAATAGAACTAGACCTACAAAAGACCCAAATAGAACAAGGCGTACTAGAGACCCAAATGCCACTAAACGTACAAGAGACCCAAATCGAACAAAGCGTACAAAAGACCCAAATAGAACTAAACATACCAGAAGAACTCCTCCAACCACAGCTGCACCAACAACCAATACACCTGCACAAACAACTACAGCTGTACCAACAACCAATACACCTGCACAAACAACTACAGCTGTACCAACAACCAATACACCTGCACAAACAACTACAGCTGCACCAACAACCAATACACCTGCACAAACAACTACAGCTGTACCAACAACCAATACACCTGCACAAACAATTACAGCTGTACCAACAACCACTACTGCTAATGGGCCCACAACAGCTGCACCAACAACAATCACAACAAGTACAACAGCTTCACCAACAACAAGCACATCAGCTGCACCAACAACAATCACAACAGCTGCACCAACAACAAGCACAACAGCTGCACCAACAAGCACAACAGCTGCAGCAACAAGTACAACAGCTGCACCAACATCAAGCACAACAGCTGCACCAACAAGCACAGCAGCTGCAACAACAAGCACAACAGCTGCACCTTCAGGTATGCCAAATAAACATTATTAATTATATGTATTATTCTAATTTGTATTATTCAATGTGTGTTGAATCATTACATTGAAGGTGTTGTTTCCAAATCTTTGCATGACTGCGAGTGGGAATGCAAAGTTTAAGAAACAATGCCTGAGTGTCATGAAGCCACAATGCATTAAAGTCTTGGGCTGAAACACATTGCAAAATATTTTCTATGAAATCACCTAAGAGATACAAAATCACTAAAAGAGCAAGGGTGTTGGCAAAGTATCAATTTCTATCTGGAGAGTGAACTTGTCACCTTGACAACTGTTTATAAAGTAATTTTGAATGCAGTGATTGGTGATACAATGCACTGCAGTTATGTGCAATACTGTGTTCAGATCGGACACACCTTGCCGAGTAATGTGTGAATTCCATTCTGTGAATTTTTTTCTAATTTTAATAATTGTGAAGACCACATTTTGGCAACTTTACCTCAAGCCATTTGTCTTCCAAGCTTTAGAGCAACCAGGTGCTGCACTCTTTTTAACTTTAGCCTCTTTTGCTATCTACATTGAAATCTTACACTTCATATTATACCCCCCCATAATGTTACCATAACACAAAAAATAAGTTTCTATTACAAGCTTGCTGTAGTCAAAATGTCAAAGCCAAATGTCCACAGCAAAGTCACCAGGTTTGATTCAATGAAAACGAAAAATATTAAAATCGACATTTACTCTATGCCATTTTGAAAAAGAATGTCAGTGTTACCTTCTCCTGATACTGTATATAGACTAATCAGTATACTTGATTACCTCTTTATCTAAATTGTATTTTGTACATGATCAGTATTTAGGAAGTTTTCTATCTACATTCAGATCCATTTCTGACTGCGTGTCTGGCCAGGCACAATCAGGTGAGAGCCCTCCACACAGACACCCCGTCAATGACTTGGAGCACATTAGCTGCTACAACATCACAAGCCTGGGCAGATGATCTGGCAGCAAGACAGGTATTCGAACACAGTAATTCAAGTAACCCAGCATTCAGAACAGGTGGGGAAAACTTGTACTTAAGTGGCACAACAGGCACTCCAACAGATTTCCCAGCTCAATGTACAAGTGGGACACAAGCCTGGTAAGGAGATTTCGTATCAAATACACTAGATCAACTCTTTTAAGTGGCCCATGACAGGTTGTCTGTTGGACTTGTTTTTAAATAATGTTAGTTTTGTATAATATGTTAAGTATAATATGAATTTGAAAAAGCTAGATACCTGTTTGATTCAACATTTGTATACATTTTAAGTATTTCTAGTGTGAATGTCTCTTCATAATATTGAATGTTTTCCTGGCACTGACGCACCTTAAAGGGTGACGCATATCGTTTAGCAAATCGAACGCTCGTTTCTGGTGTTGCTCACCGTTTAGTATAAAAGGCCCGATCCCGGAATAATACTCAAGGGTTCACAGGCTCAAGTCGTTGTGTCAACACCTCTAACTGTTATATAGCATAAGTATATTATAGATCGTCACACATTTATAAAAGGGTGATTTTTATTTTGACAAATCAATTCCACATTTATGGGTGAAGTTTCAGGATCTTCTATTTGTGTATAATAAGGAAAAATTGGCATTTAATTTCCCAATAAGGTAATAGCACACAGCTTGGCATATGAAATATCCTACAAATGAAACAAAGCAAGACAAACCGGTTTCTAATACAAGGATTTATATTGGCTGTTGTACATGTATTCTTTGAACGCAATCACTCTTTGGGTAACGTTTTCAAAATCATTATAAACGGATTACTTTATCTCAAAGACAATTTCAATAAACTGGATTTTACAGAACTCCCCTTATTTCTTAAAAATGGACTGATCCAGTTGATTCGCCTGGAGCCGCCATATTGTTTTTATACGGGATGCTAATCGGAACCCTTTAAACTACTTTCACAGTCAAATTAAAATGTTTCCCCCAGTTGAGCTCCAATTACTCCAAGTTGAGAAAATCATGAAAACTTGGATATTGTAAATGAGAAAAGGTAAATGAAACATTTTCACATTGTTTACTCTACAAGGGTATAATTACATGTTACTACAGTTCTTTGTCATGTGTTTCTATTACGCTTTTAGGTATGATGAGATATGTTTACTCTACAAGGGTATAATTACATGTTACTACAGTTCTTTGTCATGTGTTTCTATTACGCTTTTAGGTATGATGAGATATGTTTACTCTACAAGGGTATAATTACATGTTACTACAGTTCTGTGTCATGTGTTTCTATTACGCTTTTAGGTATGATGAGATATGTTTACTCTACAAGGGTATAATTACATGTTACTACAGTTCTTTGTCATGTGTTTCTATTACGCTTTTAGGTATGATGAGATATGTTTACTCTACAAGGGTATAATTACATGTTACTACAGTTCTTTGTCATGTGTTTCTATTACGCTTTTAGGTATGATGAGATATGTTTACTCTACAAGGGTATTATTACATGTTACTACAGTTCTGTGTCATGTGTTTCTATTTCGCTTTTAGGTATGATGAGATATGTTTACTCTACAAGGGTATTATTACATGTTACTACAGTTCTGTGTCATGTGTTTCTATTTCGCTTTTAGGTATGATGAGATATGTTTACTCTACAAGGGTATTATTACATGTTACTACAGTTCTGTGTCATGTGTTTCTATTTCGCTTTTAGGTATGATGAGATATGTTTACTCTACAAGGGTATTATTACATGTTACTACAGTTCTGTGTCATATGTTTCTATTACGCTTTTAGGTATGATGAGATATGTTTACTCTACAAGGGTATTATTACATGTTACTACAGTTCTGTGTCATGTGTTTCTATTTCGCTTTTAGGTATGATGAGATATGTTTACTCTACAAGGGTATTATTACATGTTACTACAGTTCTGTGTCATGTGTTTCTATTTCGCTTTTAGGTATGATGAGATATGTTTACTCTACAAGGGTATTATTACATGTTACTACAGTTCTGTGTCATATGTTTCTATTACGCTTTTAGGTATGATGAGATATCGGACTATGACTATGCTAACCCAGGATTCAGCTCTGCAACGGGTCACTTTACTCAGGTTTGTAGTAATACTCAATAGCAATACACATTCTTACCAGGTTTGATTCAATGAAAATGAAAAATATTGAAATCTACATTTGATTACTGAGTGTGCCTAGTTAAGCAATAGAAAGTATAATACAAGTTGAAAATGAGCCAATGTTATATGGCTGGCTCACAAACAAAAGAAATATAGAAATTCATTGGACAAAACTGTTGTCTTGCATTAAGTTTACCACCCCTCCCACTAAAATGTCTCCAATGTTGTGGAGACATCGTAAAAGTTGTGGAGGGGTTATATTGAGACAAGATACAACACTATTATCACATGGTTAGGTTTTTCTAAGTATTTTGATTGGTCAATTGTGACAACGAATATTCCGTATCACATGACATGTGACTAATTTTCATGTGATACGGTGGGCTGTATTACTACAGAGTCAATAGTAACAATATGACGTCTCTGGTTATATCACTTTGTAGCTAAAGTATACAGCATGACATCATATTATTTCACTAACCAGTACGAATACAACAGTATGACATCATATTATTTCAAAGCGAACTTTCAAAACACATAAAATTATAATAGTTTCCGGGAGTACAGAGTACTGAACACAATCATAATGACCAAATCAAAATGCTCCAATTCAACATTCCAAGACATGTGATAAAATCATCATCACACGTTTTAAAGCCAGCCTAGTTTCTGATCTAGTGATTAAACCATTCATTCTCAAAATTCATCTATTCCTCTATCCAACCATTCTAAACTGCTAGTTTAACTGCTGTGTTTGGAGAATTATTTCCCAATAATAAATGAAGAGTAAAAACTGTAAAGAAGAATGCCTCTCCAAATGGAAAACATTTCAAAGTCCCATTTCCCATTAACTTGATATTAATTGTACATGTATGTGAAACACTTGCTAAGTAGGAAACTATTTTGAGGTGCCAAAGGAGTTCGTCCTGCATTGCACAACACTGTACTGCACTGCACTGTGTTGTATTGCACTGCACCGCACTGTACTGTACTGCACAACACTGTACTGCACTGCACTGTACTGCGTTGTATTGCACTGCACCGCACTGAACTGCACTGCTCTGTACTGTACTGCCCTGCAAAACACTGTACTGCACTGCACCGTGTTGTATTTCACTGCACCGCACTGTACTGTACTATACTGCACTGCACTGCACTTTACTGTACTACACGTCACTGTGCTGTACTGTATTGTACTGCACTGCACTTTACTGCACTGCATGGCACTGTGCTGTACTGTATTGCACTGTACTGTATTGTATTGCACTGCACTGTACTCGATCAAACCATTTCCATTCCAGGTAGTTTGGCAGAACTCTATACAGGTCGGATGTGGAAGTTCAAGATACACAAACTCTGGTGGCTTCATAATAACATTGATAGTTTGCCAGTATACACCTGCAGGGAACTTCCTGGGACAGTTTGCTGACCAAGTTAAACCTCTAGCATAAACCATGGACCATATACTTGAAATCAGTACATGGATGAAATGGAAGACAAGTACAATGAAAGAAGGACAGTTGAAGTATCTCGCTAGAGAAACAATGTTCGCTAAACAATTCTTTCTGAAAGGAATATTCTAACCAACCATTTTCTGTCTATAATGATAAAAAGATATTTTTCTAGTCACTGTCCAATCCTCTGAGACAAACGCTGGTAGAAATATGAAAATATTAACTTTGGACATCAACGGTTAATACTTCACTGCTCGTTTTTTTTATTAACAATGATCAGTGGAAATATTTAAATTGACATAGCGCAAGCATAAACCCTATATTAAGTAAACTATTTGAGGTGGGAATAAATGGAACTGGCAATATAATATTTCAACTTCTTATATATAACTGAACATAACATCTTTTGATTAAACTATACTGGAACTTAGACATTGTTAATCATAGAGAGATGATGTTAGGTAGGTATATTTCTTTTACAGAAATTCTGGAAAATCATATGATTTATAAACAAAGCAGATATTTTTCTTTTTACTCTCGTAGTTTTTGATGTAATTTAGATCTTGAAACACATCTGTTTTTTCAATTTGCTAAAGTGGCAGGTCCCTTTTCTAAAATCGAAAAAACAGATAATTTTTGTAAATATTATTTCATCTTTACACTACATTTTCCTTATTCAGAATATTATTATTGGATCATCTTTTTCACATTTTCTTTGTTTTTAAAATTGAAATATTGTTAAATAAAAGTAATTGTTTCAAATTCAACATTTGCATTCTGTCCTCATAGCTCACTTATGCTGTTAACACATGGTTGGTAAAAAGATGTTTGGCTGTTTGTGAAATTGCATTAAGCAATATGTAGTATCAAAAAATATACCCCGGTCCCCGGAACAATTTATAAATGATTATACGCGAGTGGGAAATATTGAGAATACATTTAAATGACAAAATGTTACAATGCACTTGGTAAATTTAGTGCAAATGAAAACAAAAGTTCAGTATTTGTAACAAATTCAACTGCTGGTCACTAAAAAAGAAGCATAAAGTGTAAATCTGTTGAATTGACAACCAATCAAGGAAAAATCCAATATCTCAAACTATGATCTAACACACAAAGAATAGAACAATAGAACAACTCCCACCAATATAATTTGATTGCTCAGTGTTTTAGTTTAATATATGAAAGAGCCTTAAATTAACAACAATAATGCAAAAAATACACACGGTGAACAATACCGCACCCTTGAACAGAAATGGCCGTCTTAACATTTATCCAGAATGTCGAAAAACTAATCAGTTCTAAACTTTCATAGGTAGAAACATCCCTGAGAATTTCAAATGAATCCCTCACACGGTTTGGCTGGAAACCTGTTGATAAGCCTTGACAGACAAGATTTTAGGACGGAAAATCCAAAATGGCCGCCTTAACATTTACCCAGAATGCCGAAAAACTAGTCAGTTCTAAACTTTCATAGGTAGAAACATCCCTGAGAATTTCAAATGAATCCCTCACACGGTTTGGCTGGAAACCAGTAGACAAGCCTTGACAGACAAGATTTTAGGACGGAAAATCCAAAATGGCCGCCTTAACATTTACCCAGAATGCCGAAAAACTAATCAGTTCTAAACTTTCATAGGTAGAAACATCCCTGAGAATTTCAAATGAATCCCTCAAACGGTTTGGCTGGAAACCTGTAGACAAGCCTTGACAGACAAGATTTTAGGACGGAAAATCCAAAATGGCCACCTTAACATTTACCCAGAATGCCGAAAAACTAATCAGTCCTAAACTTTCATAGGTAGACACATCCCTGAGAATTTCAAATGAATCCCTCAAACGGTTTGGCTGGAAACCTGTAGACAAGCCTTGACAGACAAGATTTTAGGACGGAAAATCCAAAATGGCCGCCTTAACATTTACCCAGAATGCCGAAAAACTAATCAGTTCTACCCATAGGTAGACACATCCCTGAGAATAACAAATGAATCCCTCGAACGGTTTGGCTGGAAACCTGTAGACAAGCCTTGACAGACAAGATTTTAGGACGGAAAATCCAAAATGGCCGCCTTAACTGACATTTACCCAGAATGCCGATAAACTAATCAGTTCTAAACATTCATAGGTAGAAACATCCCTGAGAATTTCACCTTAACATTTACCCAGAATGCTGAAAAACTAATCAGTTCTAAACTTTCATAGGTAGAAACATCCCTGAGAATTTCAAATGAATCCCTCAAACGGTTTGGCTGGAAACCTGTAGACAAGCCTTGACAGACAAGATTTTAGGACGGAAAATCCAAAATGGCCGCCTTAACATTTACCCAGAATGCTGAAAAACTAATCAGTTCTAAACTTTCATAGGTAGAAACATCCCTGAGAATTTCAAATAAATCCCTCAAACGGTTTGGCTGGAAACCTGTAGACAAGCCTTGACAGACAAGATTTTAGGACGGAAAATCCAAAATGGCCGCCTTAACATTTACCCAGAATGCCGAAAAACTAATCAGTTATAAACTTTCATAGGTAGAAACATCCCTGAGAATTTCAAATGAATCCCTCAAACGGTTTGGCTGGAAACCTGTAGACAAGATTATTCGGGACGTCCGCCCGCCCAACCGCCCACCCTCCCGCCCAACCGCCCGCCCGCCTGGCAAACTGATTACAATATAGCACCTTAGGGTGCGATAAAAATATCTAGAACATTATTAAACACAAATGATTTATTTAAGCTTTAAATTAACAACAATAATACCAACAAGACACACAGTGATAAATATCGCACTTTGAAGAGCAAACTGGCCACCATGCAATTTACCCAGCATGGCCAAAACCTAATCAGACCTTGGCAGTAGTCTGCTCTTGCATCTGTAAACATTTCAAGTTGACAAGGTTAGCGGTTTTCCTGCAATTTTGATGACAAGAATTTATTTGTAGTCTCGAACTTTGGGAAAATTTAGATAACATCGTTTGTGACCTAATTTGATGACCTTCGACCTTGAAAATTTAATTTTTTCAGACCTCAGTAGGTGTTTTGTAATTAAGCTGACCTAAATTTAAATCCAAAATATCAATTTAGAAAATCAACTTTTTTTACCTTTTCAAGGTCACTGAAGGTGCATGAAAGGTCAAATCTGAAATCTAAGGTCAGATTTGAACTTCTGAGAACTTGTAGATGTTTTTAAAAAAATAATTTGGTCAATTTGGAGCAAGTTGAAAAATTCAAAATGGCCACCAAATTGAAAAATTCAAAATGGCCACCATGTAATTCAGCCAGCATACCCAAAACCTAATCAGATCTTGGCAATAGTCTGCTCTTGCATCTGTAAAAATTTCAAGTTGAACGGATAAGTGGTTTTCCTGGAATTTTGATGACAAGATTTGTTGAAAAATTCAAAATGGCCACCACGTAGTTTACCCAGCATGCCCTTAACCTAATCAGATCTTGGCACTAGTCTGCTATTGCATGTGTAAAAATTTCAAGTTGAACAGGTTAGCGGTTTTCTTGGAATTTTGATGACAAGAATTGATTTGTAGTCTCAAACTTTGAGAAACTTGGATAACATCATTTGTGACCTAGTTTAATGACCTTGACCTTCGACCTTGAAAATTTAACTTTTTCAAACCTCAGTAGGTGTTTTGTAATTAAGCTGACCTAAATTTAAATCCAAAATATCAATTTAGAAAATCAACTTTTTTGACCTTTTCAAGGTCACTGAAGGTGAATGAAAGGTCAAATCTGAAATCTAAGGTCAGATTTGAACTTTTGAGAACTTGTAGATGTTTTTAAAAAAAGAATTTGGTCAATTTGGAGCAAGTTGAAAAATTCAAAATGGCCGCCAAATTGAAAAATTCAAAATGGCCACCATGTAATTCAGCCAGCATACCCAAAACCTATTCAGATCTTGGCAATAGTCTGCTCTTGCATCTGTAAAAATTTCAAGTTGAACGGATAAGTGGTTTTCCTGGAATTTTGATGACAAGATTTGTTGAAAAATTCAAAATGGCCGCCACGTAGTTTACCCAGCATGCCCTTAACCTAATCAGATCTTGGTACTAGTCTGCTCTTGCATCTGTAAAAATTTCAAGTTGAACAGGTAAGCAGTTATCCTGGAAACTTGATGACAAGATTTGGTTTATGTCCCGCCCGCCCACACGCCCGCACGCCCGCACGCCAGCCCGCACGCCCGCCCAACAGCACAAGACGACGGCAATATAGCACTTTTTCAAAGTGCGATAAAAATATCTAGAACATTATTAAACACAAATGATTTATTTAAGCTGCAGATGGATCATGATTAAAAAATGAATATACAATATACAGTATATATATATATTCATCCTATGCCAAGTAGAGCTTTGTGGAGATAAATAGAGGATATCCTATGATTTATAAGTGATATGATTTTTATCCACAAATGGATATGATATCGCACGAGCGAGCGTAGCGAGAGAGTGCAGATATCAATATCCACGAGTGGATTAAAATCATATCACGAGTAAATCATAGGATGTTCTTTTTATTCCATAGTTAAAGTCATCATCAGAATCGTCGGAAATTAAGTGATTTAAATCAAATTTTTCAAACGATCCGACGATATTGACACTTAGCCTCGTTCTGAGTCTGAAGTAGCAAAAATCCATAATTCATAGCATACGGCGCCGTATGTCATGGCTAAAACACTGTATGCTATGGTTAAGTGAGAATTTGTCAAAAATATTATATTTTACCACTGATTACAAAAATATCGTTTTTATTTTGACATGTTATCCTTTGAATATCATGCTAACTATGGAATAAGTTAAGATATATCCCGTATCCTGATTTTGATATTTCTATATCCAGAACCTCCATATCTCCCACTCCAGGGCATATCTTCCCACTTTCAAAAATAAGTTGAAAAAATTGAAAATTGTGAAAAAATGTTGAAAAAAGATGAGAATTCTTTTTAGAAAACTCCACTGGGTGGTGGTAATACAAACAGGAAGTGTTACCTTATCCTGGTTTGAAGTGAAGTAGTCTTGTCTTGCGGTCTTCAGATCGTAATCACCATGTAGTATTTTGGACACTTGGAATGGTGCATTCTCTGCAATCAGCATTGGGATGTCATTCTCTATAAGAGGGGTGATGTCACGATTCAGTACATGAACAGACTGCTGAAGGTCTTGAATGCTTGAACTAAAAATGAAATAACAAAAGATATAAAACAATAAACAAGGCATTAGTATGCAAAATGTCACCACCTGCCATTTGTTACAGACACCGAATGCCGAACAGCAACTGCTGAACACCATCCCCCAAAACGTTTGATACTATAACTATATATAACACCACCAGAAGTGTTAACATAATAAAAAAGATTGAAATGGTGATTGAGATGCACATTACTGCACTACACACTACTGAGAAATTACTTGAACTCCATGAGAATCAATGAGGCTTGAAATGATACTGATTAGGAAGAGACACCATCAAGATGCGTTACTCTTGAGAAGAAATGCTGAGATGAAGAGATCAATATCTTCAGGTAAGCCTCAACCATATGAATAAGAACTATGTAGCACTGGTACACTACTAGTCCATGAAAGAACTGTACCATGACCATACAGATACTTTTTAAATTAGAGATAACCAGAGAATAGAAGAGATAATTTGGTATAGCTATTTGATCACAATTTCACAGACAGTATCCAAGATTTTTAGTCCTTCCGCATAGCTATTATAAAGATGTGTGCTTTGTCAAATAATACCAGGCTTTGAAAATAAAAAATGATTTCTTTTATTTTTTTTATCCTTAAATTATACCCCCTCATTGTAGAAATGATACCTTAATCATTAAGACACTACACATGTATTTACACCTTCAGAAAATATGACACTCATCAAAACATTTTGTGCTTATAATGTCATTGCTAAATAAAAGAGGTCATGAAACTCAATATTTTATAAAGGGGAATCCCCTTTTGATAAGAAGGCATTACCTCAGAGGTCATGGCCACGTTGCCTCTTTAGAGAGAATGCACAATTCTAAGAAATTAACTGGCTATTATTTGACTATTCAAACAGCCCTCACCAATAATAAACACAATGTTTAGTACAATACTGTTACAGTTATACTGCCAGATAATGCAATTCCTGATATAAGTGTATGTGGCTATCAGGTATGTAAAATCATAAAATTCCAACATAGAATTCTTAAATTTTCTAAAAGAAGGAAGTAATTTAAACTGAGACACTATCACATGTCAATGGTCAGATTCAAATCTCTCTGAGTCATAAATAGGCTAAGGAATAGGTTAGGAACTGTGTTCAGTTGTGTTTCTCATTACTTACTATTCAATGCATTCAACTAGAAATATATTCTGTGGTCTAAACCCGGGGTCTAAAGTAAACAGTCTCATACAAGAAAACATGTTTATACAGTAGTATAAAATAACATTTACTGTATATTATACTAGTTTCATCACCTTCAAGAATACAACTCTTTTATTCAAGTCTTATAATATTCCTTAGTCGCAAACTGCAAACTTCTCAAGTAAGGTATAATGGCTTGTTTTCTGGAATTTGTTTTGAAAAATTACACAAAATAAAGAATTAAAAAAATGGCATATCAGTCTAAATATTGTTTCAATGTCAATTCCATTTTTCACCTTTAGTTTTCCACACATTTCCACTGTATGATCTCAGCCCATTGTTTTCCAGTTTGTGACCACAATTATGACATCGCTCAAGAGGGCTCTCAATGCGTATCACACAGACAAAGTAGAGATAAAACGAATAGACCAAAAAGAATCCCGAGCCATAGTTGAAACCATTAAAAAAGACGTTTATCACTTTCTTCGAGAGATCAATGTTCCTGTTCGTCCATTTGAAGCAATAGGAAGTGTCTTTGAAGGCCTTAAGGTTATAACATATGACGAATTTGATCTTTTGATGCCCATCAAAATCACCAATCATGTCAAAGTTATACCGATAAGAAAAGCAGGTCAATGCTATTTAAGTCTCAAAAGACACACCAATAGATACATCCGAGGGTCATCAGGCAGTCGTAATGAGTGGAGCAAAGATCTAAGTCGCTACACTGATGACAAGGGTTATCTATCCGCCACTTTGGTCAGACGAGCATTTCAGAGTTTCTTGCAGAGATGGGTCAGTGTATTCCAAAGTAAACACCAGCCCACCCCATACATCATATCAGTCTCAACAGGGGGCCCAGCAATCACTGTACAGCTACAGAAAGGGGGTCCAAAACTTAGTATCGACTTTGTCCCAGCTTTGGATTTGACTGATACAGATTCATTACATATAGCCAAGCCAAGGAAGCAGGGTGATCTAGAGAGTGATATTGGTAGCGATAACGGAGAAGAGTCACTCTGGATGATTTCTCATTGTAGATTAGAAAAGGTGACACTGAAGAATATTGATAGGCATGACAATGGTTGTAGAAAAAAATGTATAAAAATTTTGAAGACAATCCGTCAACATAGAGAACAACTACGTGGTTTAAGTAACTATGCTTTTAAAATGATCATTCTCAAACTTAATAACGAAAGATCATGGTTATCAAAAGATTTGGCAGATTGTTTTGTGGACTCGATCAAGGAATTGCATCGTAGTTTGGAAATTCAAAATCTCCCCAGTTATTTCAATAAAAGTGTTAACATCTTTGCTAGTATGTCACCAATAGCAATGGCCAACATGGAAGGGTATTTGAAGAGAATAATTAGGAAGAGAACCTACATTGATGACCTGCTGACATGCCCTGAGAGATGCAAGATGTGCTACACCCTCTCACTTCCCCAACAGACACAACATCAAGAAATCATTGACTGGAGATTTGATAGAAGACAATAAAGGGATTTCATGCCATTTAACTAGGTCCATCGACCTCAATTTTTTGAAAAATGTTCAATTCTGACTGAGAATATGTTATTCTTACTAGATCATTACTAACCAATGTAATGTGATTGTTCACTTTCAGTCATGTGACTGTCCTGAATGAGATCCAGATAAAGAAGTTTTAAAAATTTAAAGGATAGGTATCGATATGGTGAACTGAATCCAACAATTTTTTTCTCTTAAACCAATTATTGAAAACATTCTGTAAAAAAACATGGTCCTTTATGTAATGTTGACTGATTGGCAACAATTTAATCCAAAAATTATTTATATTATATATAACTGTCTTTGTTAACATTTTTTGTTTTTTAGTGCAATTGTTTTTTGTTCCTTTCTACCAATTCTTGAGAATGAAATAGAATGTCTTTCCAAACCTTGTTGGAACAAAATAGCATATGCAACATTTTCTTAGACCTCTCAATATTATATATTTATACAAAGGAAATTTTGGTTGATTTAACAATGAAGGACCCACGGTCCTGTGCTCACACAGTTTGGAACCTTCAGAGGAATTTATATCCTGACTTTCAAACAAAAATATTGATTTGGATTTGTAGTCTCGAACTTTGAGAAACTTAGATAGCATAGTTGTGTGACCTAGTTTGATGACCTTTGACCTTGAAAATTTTACTTATTCAGAGCTCAGTAAGGTCTTTTGTGATTAAGCTGACCAAAATTTACAACCAAAAATCAATTTGAAAAATCAACTTTTTTGACCTTTCAAAGGTCACTGAAGGTCAAGTAAAGGTCAAATCCTAAAACTAATGTCAGATTTGAACTCCTGGCAACTTGAAGATGATTTTCAAAAAACAATTTGGTCAAATTGAAGCAAGTTGAAAAATAACTTATTTTTACTGTTTTTTGACGTCAAATATCTCAAAAACGGTAAAAATTTGATGCTGACATATATTGAGAAATATGTAGGGAATGCTTAAATCTATTAATGATGTAATTTATTGCAGGAAATGATCAAGTATAAGGCAAACTTTAAGAAACTTGTCAATCACAAAACCTTCCATTGACTTTATACACGAGAAAGTTTCCTGAAAATGACTAAGTCCTACTTTTTTCAAATTTTATAGAGTAAACACCAAAAGTCCTTCAAAAAAACTTCAACAAAGTGTCTAGTATTTACAGAAAATTTGACTTTTTGACGTCAAAATCCGCAATTTCTCGGAAACCGGGTGAACTTGGGAAATGGCGATGATAGGTCAAATAGGCATTATGGATATGCATAAAATGAATGTGGATATGACTCAATCCGAATAGCAGTTTTAATTTGTGCGGCCAATGTTGACAGACGGATGGACAGACGGACCAACGGACGGACGCCTGGTCAATCCCATAGGCTCACTGTGTGAGCCAAAAAGTATGCAAAAACAAAACCCCCACAAAATAGATGAAAATTAATACCAAACTTTCCTTTGTACAATTACAATATTGAGAGACCTAAACACTGAGGTTCGGACAAATGTTTCACTTCATTCTGAACATATGATACCAAGAAAGAAAGTGTCTGGTGTGTTTTCTAAAAGAATATAGAGAAAAGTAATATATATATATATAATTCAAATTATAATGTTACCATCCAAAAGATGACCATTAAATTGACAATGTGTAAAATTTTCAGAATTTTTTGATGACTGGTTTAAGAGAAATGCGTGTTCAAAAAGTTCACTATATCGATACTTCTGATTATATCATGAGAATGAAATAAGGTAAAAGGAGTCCCTCGTAAGTTGCTGGTTCTGATTAAAAACCAAAAAACTATTAAGGTCAGTAAAATGAAATTGTGCTTGTATGGGACTTTTTTGATTTCAAAGAATAACAATCTTACGTTTTATTGCTTCTCAAGATATGACCTGTTCTGAAACACAACGGATAAACCAATTTGCAATCATAAATAAAGTGATTTTATGTAGGATAGAGTTAAATTCAAGTTTTCTCGCCAATTTGTTTCAGAATGCAGGACATTTGTTGTCTAGTCTCCCAAAACAATCCTTCTGTTCAGTTTTCAGTTTATGATTTTCATTAAACATTAGGTCTGCTGTTATAGCTCTATATTCTATGCAAGATAAATAATCAAAAATCAAAATATTTCATCTAAATGTATCATTTCTCAACCACATTGTAAAAAACAGCACATTTGTCTCATGAAATGAGAGATACAGGGTAACACAAGAATACAACCCTCTTATTTTGGAATGTTTTGAGAGGTTGCATATTTGTGTCACTCTGTATAACAAAAGTGCATAAATGCAAAAGTGTATCAAAGTTAACAAAGTAAACATATTACATTGCATTTATTTACAAGAAATGTAGTGCAATACCTTAGCTGTCTAACATTTTGAGGCCTGCTGTTCTCTCTAAGACTTGACAGTTTCTTGTCTGCATAGTTATTCAGGGCCTTTGCAACAGCTTCATCCATCTGTGCACTCAGCCTGAGTTTCTCACTTTTAGGATATCTGAAATATTGCAAATGAGATAATGCTTTCATTGTATAGAACATTGTATAGAAATACTACCTAAATGGGTCAACAAAATAGAATGTCAACTTCATGTCACTTTCAGCAGATTTTAGTGGCTGACAATTTACAGGTGCTTTACAAACACCTTACAAAACTTCTTAATGGAGAGGAATAAGGGAAAATGCTTGCCGGATTCTGAATCTGTGTATTTTTTAATGATTTTTCACCGTCTTAGAATTTCAATTTTTTTCTTTTGAAAAATGAGATTTGCATTGTTTTCCAATTAGACAAATGAGTAAACATGAAAAGCTCGAAATCTTACAGTGAGATTTTGTTTTAAAAAATCATGGATATCAAGGCTAAATATAGCTATACAATAAACAGAAAAAAGCAATGCTTGGACTCTTCATATTCACACAAAAAATTAATTAGTAAATGAGGTTTGATATTTGTGAGAATAAGTTGTACGAGTTGCAATGCTCTACAAACACCAGACTACAGGGTGGATTAGGATCAATGACACACATAAAAATTAATTTAAAAATATTTCATGATAATTATCTCAAACAAAAGCAGTTAGCGAAGGATACATTTCATTACACTCAATAAATAGTTATCACTTTTGACTATATATACATATCTCATGGGAATGTATTTCCATCTGCTCAAGATATCATATTTTAGCTTCGAAAATCACAATCGTTGGATAATACATTTGTCTCAGAATGATAGGCCACCCTGTAGCAATGTAGCTTTCACTTTAAGTGTACCCTTGAGAATAATGAACTTACTTTCAAATTGGTCTTGCTTTTGTGGTGTATGTGGCTTTTTAGCAAATCTGCCACGCTCATTTCTTTCCAGATCCATCTTGTTCACATGTAACACTAGGCTATACACGCATGTATAGACAGATGACATAGATAAACATTTAAATTATATATTGCACCTGTATTTACTTACATGGGAATATTCCCTTTGGAAAAATGCAAATGCATGAACATATATTTTCATCTTATATATGACTTCAAGCTAACATATTATTTCATATTTATATTTTCATAGTTAGTCTAACATAAATAATCGATCCATGAGAACAATATTCTTTGTTTTCTTAAAAATTGATGGGTTTACTGTGAATTCAATAAATTACAATTTGCAAGGGGTAAGTATACTGTATGACCTTAGTTGCAAAGTACTGTTTATATATGCAGCTCATTAGCATAAAATATGTTGAATGAAGCATATGGTATGGATTAGTCGTTGACACACAAACCGACCAATACATGAGGGTATTAGCTACTTTTCACAGAAACCAAAGGAGGACAGTGCTTTTATTTCAACTGGGAGCTTACCTCCACACGACTGATCATGTGACCATGGTGGTGGGTCCCTTTAAATTATAACCCAGATGCGAGTAGGCAGTTACCAGTTTCACCACCAGGTGGCTGATTAGAAAGTTCCCTTAAACTTGAATACTGTAGATTGGGTTAATTTGGCGCCCGCTTTAATTTGGCGAATTTAGCGAAATTGCAAAATTCGCCAATATAAATCTTCGCCAAAATTTAGAATGAATCCCCGGGAATTATCTAGGGTATTTCGTCCAGTGTATTTAGGTCACTTCCGGTTAAGTTTTATCCAAAAATATGAAAAAATGTCTCTCATAAATTGGCTTAGAACTGGTCAGTCACTCATTAATACTCAGGGAAACGGTGATGTATAGTAGCAGCATCGATCGAGGTGCAAAATGTAAAGGATGATCTCACAAAAATGTACAAACGTGGTGAATATCGCCAATGGGCCTCAACTTTTGAGGACTTTTAAAAAATGAACATGCCCATTTACATAGTAATTCGCTAACAGCGCGCAAGTATAACATTGTATACATTTTTTTTTGCATATCCGCCAAATTAAATAGCCGCCAATATGCCAAAAATGGCAAAATCGCCAAATTAAGTAGCGCCAAATCAACCCAATCTACAGTACTATCAGTTTAAATGGATCAATTTTCATATATTAATCCTTATGTGGCTGATAATTTTACAAACGAAAATATGTCCAATTAAAAAAAATATTATCTGCCCAACAAAATGAAAATATTATCTGCCTAACAAAAAAAAAAATAGATCACTTTTTGTGATTTTGTAACATGGGGTCTATGGGGAATCTCCCCGATCTAGAAGTCACATTTTCAAAGTTGGTAAATACTTTTTTAAACCACATTTCTAGATGCAATTTTCCATGTAGACTTCAAATGGGATAAATTTTGAATTTTTATTGAAATAAATCAAGATTATTTCTACTTGCATCTAGTATGGTATGTTACTCTTAGTTTAATACTTACACAGCCTGTAATCTTTCCAGTTCATCTTTATTCTCCTCATTGACATGTGCCTTTTCTCCCTTAACTAGTAAAGTCTCTGCATCTGCAGCATCAAGAATCTGGAGCCTTAGATTATCTTCCTGGCCACCCGCCATATCAGCAATACCCTATAGAGACACATAGAAAAAACAGATGAACAGGAAAAATAAAATGTTAACTGTCATTCCATTTATCACAATTGGTGCCATTCGTATTTCAAGTCTACTCATCAAATATGAATATGGAGTAGCTGTTATTGACCCATAAGCTGATTAATCGTAAAACCAGAACAACGGCAACGCCAAAGCGTAGCGAATCCCATCGAACAGAAATGGCTGGCATTTTTACAAACGAAATATATAGCAAATATCATATAAAACAACACACCAGATAGGCCACCATTTTCACAATGGTTGCTCACTAGCCAAGTTGTCATCAGAAGAAATAATATGCTTTAAAGAAGCCACCTGAAAAATTTTTGAATAAAAATCGCACACATGTACTTGTAAAATAACACACATAAAAATGGAGGCCATTTTTCAAAATGGCCGACTACTCCCCAAAGTTTTATTAGACAATGTGCCATGCTTAGAGTATTCACATATCAAATATGAACAAAATCGCTCCACTACTTTTCGAGTTATAGTAAAAAATGTAAAATGACAGCCATTTTTTAAAATGGCCACCTACTATCCGAAGTGTCATGAGACAGTGTGCAAGGCTCATGAGTATTCACAAATTATGAACAAAATCGCTTCACTACTTTTCAAGTTATAATAAATTACGTTAAAATGGGGCCATTTTTAAAAATGGCCACCTTCTACCAAAAGTGTCATTAGACAGTGTGCCATGCTTTTAGTATTCACATACCAAATATAAACAAAATCGCTCCACTACTTTTCGAGTTTTAGTAAAATACGTTAAAATGGTGGCCATTTTTCAAAATGGCCACCTTCTACCAAAAGTGTCTTTAGACAGTGTGCCATGCTTATAGTATTCACATACTAAATATGAACAAAATCGCTACACTACTTTTCGGGTTATAGTAAAATATGTTAAAATGGCGGCCATTTTTCAAATTTTTTTTCAAAATGGCCGCCTTCTACCAAAAGTGTCATAGGACAGTGTGCCATGCTTATAGTATTCACATACCAAATATGAACAAAATCGCTCCACTACTTTTCGAGTTAAAGTAAAAAACGTTAAAATGGCGGCCATTTTGAAAAATGGCCACCTTCTACCAAAAGAGTCTTTAGACAGTGTGCAATGTTTATAGTATTCACATACCAAATATGATCAAAATCGCTCCACTACTTTTCGGGTTACAGCAAAAATCGTAAAATAACGAGTGAAGGCCACCATTTTTCAAGATGGCTGCCATGTGCTTTTTTAATATCTATATTTGTAGCTTTATTAATGTCCTTTATAATTTTTTTACATTTAAAACATATTGCTATTACAGTTTTACATATTGCACCTAAATAACTGTAAAATCTGCACTAAAATGGCCGCCATTTTGAAATGAGCAGCCATTTTGAAAATCGGCTTTCGAGCAGATTTTCTACCCCCATAGGGTATATGTGTACAAAATATGAACAACGGACGTACGTACGGACGGACGGAGGCGTTCCCTATATCCCTCCGAACTTCGTTCGATGGGATAATAAACTGTACATTTCTTTGTGTTTCACTTCTTATAGCATACATATGTAATACACCAATATATTATAGCTTTTGCACTTCCTAAATATACCATAATAGGCAAAAACCAACATTTTAATCATTAAAGTAAACTGTAATGTACATTCATTAAGTAATTGCTACTGACTATAAAAGTGGATTATAATTAGACATGTAGAATTACAAATGCATGAAAATAAATTGTTTCAATCCACTAAAGAACTACTGTACCTCAAAGAACTGTTTCTTAGTGTGTGCTGTCAGAGCCTGTGTGAATTTATCTTCCATGTTGTGGTAGCTATCCAGGGACATTTGGGAGAGGAACATGGGCCCCTCACCATCACTAGTACTGGGGTCCCATTGTGTAGGCTGGTTATACAGTGATGTCATATCTTGTACACTCTTTGTGAGCCTTTCAAGGGAACGGTTGATCTAAAAGAATATTACAATGTATATTCATATAAATTATCTGAATGGTCGTTAAATTTGTTTATCAGTATGGTTATATGTGACCAAAGGAACTCTGTAAATAGAAGTCCATGCTAAGACGTAGCCTACCTTCAGAGATGAGTTTGTAAAAGAGTCTTTAATAGGTGGAGTAAGAAAATGGCCTTTAAGTATGGTAGCTAACCTGCGTGTTATCAGCCTGACTTTGTTGTAGGCATTCTGAATAGTCTCTCTTGCCTCTGTCTTCTACTTCACCTAACCTGGACACTTTATGACCCAAGCCAGTGTAATGTAAACTACAACAACAATACAGGCAAACAGACATATTCACCTAACCTGGACACTTTATGACCCAAGCCAGTGTAATGTAAACTACAACAACAATACAGGCAAACAGACATATTCACCTAGCCTGGACACTTTATGACCCAAGCCAGTGTAATGTAAACTACAACAACAATACAGGCATACAGACATATTCACCTAACCTGGACACTTTATGACCCAAGCCAGTGTAATGTAAACTACAACAACAATACAGGCATACAGACATATTCACCTAGCCTGGACACTTTATGACCCAAGCCAGTGTAATGTAAACTACAACAACAATACAGGCATACAGACATATTCACCTAACCTGGACACTTTATGACCCAAGCCAGTGTAATGTAAACTACAACAACAATACAGGCATACAGACATATTCACCTAACCTGGACACTTTATGACCCAAGCCAGTGTAATGTAAACTACAACAATGCAGGCATAGACATCTTTTTATATTTACCAATGAAAACATTGATTCTGGTCAGACTGTTGTTTTGTGGTAATACCAGTAGTTTATAAGTAAAATTTTCTTTGAAGTATAGGTGAACTTCTGATACTACTACAAACAATCTGGTGAGAAATTATGATTTTTTGGCACAATTTGGCAAAACTAGATCAATTCAAACTTCCCTGTAGTCTACTGCATAATTGAATAGGTCCAAGTCCTTCACAAGCCATTCAGACGAAACTTCATAAAATCACTATGGCGTCATTATATCCAAAGTTAAAACATTGGATTTAAGAATTCTTAACTTTACAATGCAAAGTAATGATCACCTGGTGTCTTACCTGAGTTTGTTTCTTTGTTGAATTAATTTCTCCTTGCGTTTCTTCGATCTTTTAAGTTTATTAGTCATCAGATTTACTTCTTCCCTAGAAACAATATATAGAGGATTTGAAACATTTGCTCGTGGTGAATATAAATGTTTTCTAACTTTCTAGATTCCAGGATGTTTTACAGAGATGTCACAGATTCTTGGGTTGTTGAGGATTCCTCGGTTCTGCCATCTTATTTGAATGAGCCTCTTTTCCTGGATTCACCCCATTTCTCCAATAGGAAGAGGGAAGGGAGTGATAGTAATAGCATTATTTCCATAACAAGACATCATAGTTTGAACATAGTACACAGTTGGCATTCACATTTTATAGAATACCCAATTCAGAATAATACAGATGATAAGTTTGATTAGTGCTGAATTTGACTGATAATTTGAATTTTAAAATCACCTGGGGCTCTCTTTATGTAATAAAGGTACAGTAAAACCTGTCAAATCTGAACACCACTGAGACTGGCCAGAAGTGTTTGTATTGGCAGGTGTTCATATTAAGAAATTTTACAATACAGACTCTGGCAGATTTAGAAATTGAAACCAAAAAAGTATTCACATTGAGCGGTTTTCAGATTAGATATGTGTTCCTATATACATACTTTACTGAATCAGTATATGATTATCAAGACCTACCTAAGAGCACCTTCACTGCAATCTTCTCCAGTGTCGACAACTTCATGTAAGGCCTTATTCAAGTGCTCACCCTCTAAGATACCACCTCCTTGCTGCTTTAACTTTTTGAATCTGAAACACACAACAAAACTTTACATGTTTCTTTTTCGAGAGACAATGAGCATTCCCCTAAATATTTATGTTTCCAAAAAGTGCACAACGAATTTGACTTTGTCCAGATAATAAGCAAAATGTTAAGGATATAATGAGATGAAAAGCTTTATCATCTCTGCTATTAACAAAACCAGTAAATTAATATGTGGAATTTAATACCTCATACCAAAATAAAATCAAACAAATAATTGTGAAAAGAATTTTGTTTAGATTTGCATTGGGCTCCAATGAATCTCATATACTCAAGGGAAAATACAAGCTACATGTACAAGTTATAAGTACAAGTACATGTAGATGCTACATGTACAAGTTATAAGTACAAGTACATGTAGATGCTACATGTACAAGTTATAAGTACAAGTACACGTAGATGCTACATATACAAGTTATAAGTACAAGTACATGTAGATGCTACACGTACAAGTTATAAGCACAAGTACATGTAGATGCTACATGTACAAGTTATAAGTACAAGTACATGTAGATGCTACATGTACAAGTTATAAGCACAAGTACATGTAGATGCTACATGTACAAGTTATAAGTACAATTACATGTAGATGCTACATGTACAAGTTATAAGCACAAGTACATGAAGGTGCTACATGTACAAGTTATAAGCACAAGTACATGTAGAAACTTACTCTTCTATTTCTCTGCTGCTTAAAACATTTGCTGATTGGAGGTTGTCACACGTCCATTCCAGGAAGGGTAGAGTCTCATCATATTCAAACAGCCAATCAAAACTCTTACTGTCCAGCTTGTCCACGCCTGGATAGTTAATCTGGCGTAGCATTTCAACGAAGCGTGACCCACTCATGATGATTTTCTATATACTAGTATATTCAATATCTAAAATATATGTATAATGTACACATTACAAATCAAAGAGTTACATTCTTATGATCATAGTAACAAGTTACAAATAGCTTATCTCGTTCCAAAACTATCTCTACGTTCTAGTCTTGGGGGGGATCCATTCAAGCACACATTCTTTTTCAAAAGTTGAAATTTATCGGCGATAGCTACGCACAAATTTCTTACCTCTATCGATTCTTAACATCACAAGAAACATTCTTCTAAAGGCAGAAAAGTTGCGGCTGTCTCAAATCGCAGTTATATACACTTCAAACTTCAAATTGACCAGTTTTCCAAAATGTCATCCATGAATTTGTTGACGTCACTTTCAGACTACTTTAACTTACACAACGCGTAGTAATATATAAATGAAGAAAACATTCAGCGTTGGCTGACACCGATCAGCCGAGGGAATTTCCTTGCATTTTACCTAACAACACGTCAAATACAACAGCAATTTCCGGTGAAATCATTCAAATACATCGTTACTCACGATTTATCAATGTTGGTTGACTTGATTCTGTATTAATTGAGCGAAATAATTTCTCAAGTTTGAAGGATAATGTTCCCGGGAAAAAAGAGATTGAAATGTAGGCACTGGATGAAATGTTCATGGCAGACATTTTGAAATAAGCTGAATACTGGTCAACTCGTAAATTGAAGTGTATATTACTGCAATTTGAGACAGCCGCGTCTTTTCTGGCTTTGGGAGAACATTTCTTTTGGTGTTAAGAGTCGATAGAGGTAAGAAATATATGCGTACCTAACGCTGTTAAATTTCAACTTTTGAAAAATAACGTGTGTTTCAATGGATCCCCTCCAAGACCAGGAACGAAGAGGATGGTGTTGGAACAAGATAAACAAATAGCTTTTATTTATTCAAAAAACACATTGTTGAAAAGTGAGCACTCCCGCTAACAGTATCTGAATTTTTTACTCGCGAATTAAAATGGAACTGGCTGGGCTCCTTGATGAGATATTGCATGATTAAGTCAGGATTTCATCTAAGATTTAAACAAACGGCTCCAAGAAAAATGGCGATATTCGAAAACTGGACGAAATGTTGTTAACGTCTGACATTACTCAGTTAGTAACTGGCTGTAAATTCTAAGTTAGCGATCCAGAAGATGTGAACTATTACATTGATCACTTCATGTGTTTTGGAATTTTTGGTGAGGAAATAAGACCAAAACTCGCAATTCAAATTGTGATGGGGATAAACGGCGAACATTCACAAGAGGCAATCTGTATAATCTTGTAAGAGCATTTGATTTGAGATAGATGTCACTTACATTCATTATTTCACAGCAGTCCCTACCCATGACGCACCATTATAGTGCGGGAATATTTTTGTTTAGTGCCAAAACAAAAAGTGTAACCCAAAACAAATGTAATGACATAACATCAACCTCCCCCCGATTTATAGACGTGTGTTGTACAAACTTAAACTGAACCGATGGCAGAAAAGCACTTTGATGGGAATGAAGTACTTACTGAAAAACCGAACCAAGTAAATACTGAATTTTGCTCAGATCGCCCCGACTCAAAACATTTGATTTCAAATTTTATGATAACAACATGACCCAATACAGGGACATGACTCACATCAGGCAGAGTAAAAACATGCAGTGATTTATCTGTGGACGAAAGCCACGATATAGTGGCCTTGGAAGAAGGTAATTTGGAACCAAGTGATATATAAGTACAAGCAGCAAGTAAGAAAAACAAAGAACACAGTGGAAAATTGCCGTTATGCAAAACAACCACCTCAAAACAACAACCTGAAAATCTATCGATAGATCGCCTGTGCAAATTATCACCCACATAAAAATTAAAATTGGGCGGGCAAACTCTTTTTGAAACTTTAAATGAACTAAAACGTTTATTAGCTTGATAAATTCTAAAAAATATTATTAACTGTGTAATACTTCTATATGTGTCTATATATATACGTACATTGTCCAGGAATCGGTCAAATTTGACAATAATTTCTCAAGATTTTCCAAAATATTTTCAAAATTTCACTAGAGGCAATCTGCGCGAGATTCCATTTTTTGGTTCGGTTTCTAGCGAATGCGCAATAAATCCAGCAATTTAATTGGTTCAAATTATTATAACGCATGCGCAATTAATAACTTATAGGAACATTTAATTTGAGATAGATGTCACTTACGTTCATTTTTTCACAGCAGTCCCTACCCATGATGCACCATATAGTGCGGGATTTTTTTTGTTTATTGTCAAAACAAAAAGTAAGCACCCAAAACAAATGTAATGACATAATATCAACCTGCCCCGGATTTGTAGATGTATGTTGTACAAACTTAAACCGAACCGATGGCAGAAAAGCACTTTGAATCATGGGAATGAAGTACTTCCTTTAATGAAAAACCGAACCAAGTAAAAACCGAATCTCGCGCAGATTGCCCCGACTCCAAAATTTTGATTTAGCTCTCCAAAATAGGAGGTAAAATAGAAATAGGTCAATCATGAGACCGCGACCTTGCTTGCAGTGACCCCTACATCGGTTTCATAACGAGTTTTGGCTTGCAACCGAAGATTATCACGGTCAGAACCTAGACACTATACTTACATGTGACATTGAAATGACTTTAGACAATTTCGATACAAGTAGTAAATGACCCATTGGCCTACCCATGTACCCTGGAGCCCATGGCCTACCTAGTATGTATCCAACAGACTGACTAGAAGTCAGTCTGTTATGATGTACTACTTTCCTGTGGAAATTGCAGTGAAATTTTTTGCACAAAATTATCAATTAGAGGAACCATTTCCTCAATAAAATAAACATTACAAAATTTCAATTAAATAGTAAGGTACAATTAAATGCAATAAAATGTAACACAGCATATTGTCAAGTGGAAATAAAGCTAGTTGAAGTAACAAATTGTGCAAATGAATTTTACCCAATCGGCCATTTTGAATAGCACTTCCTATGTAAACAAATATTTATAATTACCAAATTTTAACATAGGTGCCTTATAGTCTGAATATAATTCAGACTAAATAGGATATAGTCTAATGGCCTACCCTACATCATGGACTTCAAATGATTAGAAGTCCATGCTTACATGGTGCACAAGCTAAGGTCAGTCTTCCTCATAGACTATTAGGCCTAGGGGAAGCAGCAAAGAAAATTGAAAACAAAATATGTTCCACTTTTGCACAGCCTAATTATTCTCATTCCAAAATATAGGCATTTGTGCATCATTTGGAAACTTAGTATATCATGCCTTAATCCAAGTTGCTATATGAGAACTATGTCAAAACTTTACATGCTGTGACCCAGGGGCGAACCCTAACATCCAACTATGTAAATTTTAACACAATCCAAACAGTTGGCTTTCAGGTATGAATTCTGGGCGTAATGGCCTGCTTTTTTGTTGAAGTGAAGCATTCCCCGGTTTGGTGAAAGCAGACTGGAACAACACCCCACCATTGCAATGGGAATGCACAAATGCAACAGCAGAAAAGCTGTAACATTGGGTTAGGGTTGAGATCACAAACACGGACTGCTCGTGATGACACCCAGGTGAAACAGGAAGTGAGGAAGTTTCGCGGGCTTTTTATGAAAATCTTAGATGACGTCATCATATTTCTGACCAATCAAATCTTTGCTTTTTTGTATTTTCGGATTTTACTCTTCCAATGCGCATGATCTTATTTGTTGCCATTTTGAGATCACGGGATGCAAATTTAATCTTACCGAGAAACAAGCGTGTTTATAAAGCTATCAATGATCAAAGGTAAGACATTTTGTAATACAATGGACAAGTAAGCTATCAAGAACATATGTGTAAAGTATGTAGGTTTTATGTTTCAGGCTTAGTTCATAATTTATACAGAAATTATTTTTTTCCAACCAATTTTTTTTTATTTTGACACTCTGCGATGTTGTGTTTGCGTAGGCTGTTGGTATAGAATAGTGCTGTCATATGATATAAAGAATTGTTGACTCATATTAATGAATCTATTTTGAACTTAGTTGAGTTGAAGAAATTTGTTCCTAAACTCAAATTTTTTATTCTGGGAACCTGGGTTCATATAATAATGAAATGATGTGATCCTACTTACCAGTATGTTCTATGTCATCTATCAGACTAGGTTACATTGTGGAACTCAGCCAAACACGACACTGAAGGCAGTATTCTGAGACCTATGCTTGCGGTCGTTAGTTCCCCTGGGGCGCCCTCGGGTCATTACACATTACAATACACCCATATGCCTTTATTTATGGATCTGTCATTCGTCTAGTCATATAATAAAGCTGGAATTGTAGAAATGTTAATGATTAGAGCTATTTTAGACATAAAAATCTTTAAAATTGAACCTTTCAATGACTGTACATCCTCCTAAGCCATCCTCCTATTCGTACCTCCTTCTTCCCCCCTGCTATAACCAATTTGGAAGCGCCCGATTAAACTGAATCACGTGATCTAATTATTCACCGATGACATATACACATCAAATTGCGAGTTCTTAATCGGGGAAATGCTAACTGCTTATCGCAGGGGGTAAAAAGAAAGAAGATATTCTGGATTTTGAAGCCATGTGATTGGAGGATGATGACTATCATGTCCCGGGTAGGTGGGTATGAGGTAGGAGGTTTTTTATACAAAGCCTAATTTCCCGTTTGTAGCCCTTTGGAGATTTCCGGAATTGAACAAAGTAGTGAACGTTGCGATCTTTCAACTTTAGTTTGTTGTTTTTCACCACTTTATGTGTAGTGTTTTCATTTAGGCGGCGGTCTTATTTGAATTCATCATTTCAGGTCTTTATGAATCAATAGATCAATAAGCAGACTAAAAATACAATTTAGCAGTTTCGTTCGTTGAATACTGGGCCTGTTAGGCACGATTGAACTGAACGAAATGCTAGGAGATTGCAGACTACATAAATTAAATGGAGACATTTGATTTCGGGTACCCCAGTATTCAGAGGGCGGCCAGTATACAACACACAGCTTTATAGCCCTGTAGTAATCATAATACGTTCAATATAGCTATTGCAGGAAAATAGCCTAGTGGTAATATGAAATTATGCAAAATGGTCTTGTAAAATGCCAACGTGTGGTCCGGGGATGAGAACCCGGGTGTGTACCCCATCTTGTTGCTTGTAGAATTCACGGGGCACTGAACGAAATTGTTTATTTATAATTGTAATTATTTAGTTATGTCGGGTATATAAATGCGTTTATATTATAAATAACCTAACATTATATTTTTATGGTTCTCCTGCTTTCAATACAGTGTATCTGTTTGGCAGTTTGGAACTGGGGTGAAATATAATTAATGAATATTTAATTAACAAATATTTTACCCCTGGGAATCCCAGTAGTGAATATACGTTGCAATGTATTTTCAATGAAAGATATGTCACATCTGTATCCTGACGTAATAACTTGAAGAAAACTGATTTGGAATACCCAGTGACTTTAGCAGCCCTCCCTACAATGTTTGACATTGCTATCTTGGCATGTCCTCTTCTATAATCAGTAGCAAATGCTGGCAAAACATTTTCTAAATTATTTACTACTGTTTTCTTTGAAGACATGGTTGGGTGACACATCAATAAGTCACATGATCCATACAGTAACTAGTCATGTGATCAGACAAGTGTCGCATGATCAGACATGTGTCACCTGATCAGTCACGTGAGCTTGCAAAATGGACAATCTAAATTTCCCAAAATTCTGCTAAGATCAATATCGATAAGTTGTTGCCTTCATTGTCAAGTTTGGCTGCGTTCCACAATGTAACCTAGTCCGATGGATGACAAAGAACAAACTGGTAAGTAGATATGTGGTTACATCACATCATTTCGTTATTTTAACCATATGAACTGGTTCCCAGAATAAAAAATTTGAGTATAGCAGGGTTACCAACTTTCAAAGTTGCACATTCTGATCTCCCCTAGGCTATTACAGTAGCTAATTTACTTAGTAGCCCTAGCCTCCTTAGTGTAGACTACTGTTCGATATCTAAACATTATCTTTTTACCACTAAAACCTGTAAGAGACATACTTTTTTAAATAATCGGCTACTTTTACTCGAGTCTTTAACTAATTCTTGGCTAGAAGTATTTCTATCTGGAACATCGTGAACTATTGTAAAATTTCTAGTCGGGGTTCAATAAATTTAAGTAATATTCTAAAAACCATCATGTTAAAGGATGTACATAACTATCCAGGCCTTAGAAAACGTTAAAAACTACTTTTTAGGATAATCATCAATTTGATTCCTTTTGATACTAAATCTTATCAATATCTAAATGCACTTTCGATTTTCAATTGAATGTCAAAGTGCTCTAATAACGAAAGTGAAAGTGCTTGGCCATTGTCAGGAATCAGCCAAAACAAATGTCACAATGAATGTCTCCATATCATCCAACGTATATTGATGACGTAATGTAATGATTGGTTGGGTTGCGTAATAAACACACGTGCTATGAAGCATTATCATCAAAATTTTAACTCCAAATCTTTCCACGGATATTTCTTATATTTCATGATTTTTGAAATATTTTGGCAAAATAAGGATCGATAATAGTAAAAGAATACATATTTAATAAGTTATTAAACATTCAATATACTAGTATGATAAAAAATGGGACTTTTTACCAGATTTTTCCATCCGCCCACCGCAGTGTCTATTCTGAGACACTGCATGGGAGTTAAAGGAATATTCCTTGCCAAACCCTTTCTCTCTTGATATGGTAGCTATAATCATATACTGTAAAACGGGTATTGTTAGCGAGGGGTAATTGTTAGCGGTTGTTAGCGATCGCTATAGTTTCGCAAAAAAAATCAATTTGCTAAAATAAACCGGGCGCTAAAATTTGCAAAGTCCCGGGAAACTACATGATTACTAGTATTTAAGGAGCTTTTCGTTCAGTGCTCGACTTCCGGTTTGTAATTTGAAAAAGGTAAATATTTTTAAATCGTATGTTTCTTTCAATATCTGAAGGATAAATAGCTATCCACCATGAGATTACAGTAGTTTTGACCAATACCATGTGCGTTGGAAGTCTTACATTTTGATAATTGCTCTGTCATGTCCGTTATTCATTCTTCTGCCATAAATGATAAAATTTCTAATGCATTTCGCTAATTTGATTTTTTAAAGATTAATCTTCATTTCGCTAAAATTTCCCACGCTAAAACCCCCTAAAATTGAAAAATCGCTAAAATTTCCCGGTGTCAAAATTACCCGTTTTACAGTATATAGTTTCCATATTTAGCAAAACATGGGAAAATGTTTTAATATGGTCAATATTGATCATTTAAAAATCTAGTGCTTATTTCCAGTGAGCTGCCATCTTTTAAGATTTCTTGCAGGAAGTGATGTCATCAACTCTCAACTTCTATACCCTTGCCCATAACAGTATAGGAAAGTAGCATAAAATCACTTCAATATTTTCAGGGCTTGTCAACTTAGAATAAAAGAAGAGATTTTCAATAGGATTAAATAAGATACAAAGTTGAAAAAGAATATTTAGCTGGTTTTGTAATTCTTAATAGCTCCTCACCTAATGCTATATGCAAAGTTGAAAGTCTATGACGTCACTTCCTTTGTGAAATTTTAAAAGATGGCAGCTTACTGGAATTGAGCATCACATTTCTAAGTGATCAAATTTGACCATATCAAAACATTTTTGCGTGTTTTGCTAAACATGGCAAGCATGTATATGGTTATAGCTACCATATGAGGAGAGAGATGGTTTGGCAAGGAATATTCCTTTAAGTATAAAATCTTAAAAGATGGCAGCTTACTGGAATTGAGCACTACATCTTTAAATGATCAATATAGACCACATTAAATGATTTTCCTTTATTTTGCTAATTAGAAAGTGTATATATGATTATTATAGATAGCTACATGTACCATATCAGGAGAGAAATGTTTTGGCAAGGAATGTCCTTTGAACTAAGTTGCAACATTGGATATTTTAATTTTCCTTCCTTAATTTTGGGAGCTCAAATCAATGGGAGTAAGTCACCCCTCCCTCTTATATTCTGTAGCCTATATTTAGATGATAGTGAATATTAGAGGGAGGATGACTTACTCCCTGTGGCTCAATTCTTAATTGAAGAAAAATTTGATTGCACACTTGGATCACAATTAGAATTTTTTCTATAATCCTAAATTGTACATGTATGATCAGTTTTGTATCCTGAAGGAGAACCTTTGTAGCAATATATTAACATTTAAAACTCTCCCTCATTATCATAGTCATCTATCATACTTATTTCCTTTAACATTTATTGCACCATACATCTTTGAGGAATTCATGAAAGACACATATTAACTATAGGAGGACTCCATAGAACATAATTTATTCAAAGACTATATTGATTTTCTCTGAGGCACAAAGCAGTTGCTGGTACAAGCAGCTTGAGTTAAGGCCAATATCAGCAGTGAAAGTCGACTCTAGCTAAACTGAATGTTCCTCTGGTTAGTGCTTCATTTCAATTCTCTATACACTTTGCCGTCTAATTATGGGAGCATCGCTAGACATTACCGTATGACGTTAGAGGCAGCCTTTGATGTCATCAATATTATTTGGATGTGAAACAGGATCATAACATTATAGGCGAGCGAACAACAGAAGTATCGCAAGCATATTTTGTATACGATTTACCAAAATATAGATTTATTTTTGTATTTTTCATGTATAGGAAGAGTTAACAACCAATGGCAACATGTAGAAAACAGATGTCAATGATGGATGACCAAACAATAAGAAAATATGACTCATAATAAAGATATCCAAGCGAATTCCATTTTTCAAGGATTAGGAACAATTTCTATATGGATTAACTGATTGATAGAGCCAAGCGAACAAAAGGTATGATAATTTCATAAAATGACTTTGATATTTAGTCTCAATAGTAAAAATTAAAAAAAATGTTGATAATCTAACTGTAAGCCTTTATGAGCCCCCGAATATACATTCTTGATTCTTTGGCTGAGGTATGTCTCGACTCTGTTTTGTAATATTATGACAATGATTAACTATTGGCATTTGGGAATCAATAAGTTATTGTGTAATTATAACGCTAATGATTTCTACATTATCACTGATAGTGAGATGTACATCATATGTTGTCCTCAATTGTAATATAAAAAAATAGCTATTTAAGTTGCAATAATTTGATTGCTTGTGTAACATAATTAATGATGATTCTTGAAAAAGATGAGGGCACTATTATTTTTTTCTATTTTTCTATTTATGTGTTATGTAACCTCAACAGTAGACCCATACAATAATAATGAATGACATCATGATAGTAATGAGTTCATGATTGAGAATACACTATAATTTGATATAGGAGGAGGGAAACCCCAGAGTTAAAAAGATGACCTCAGAATCACCTAGAGCTCTTTTTTTGTTTTTTGTTAGCTCCTATGCCGTTTGACCAATCAGTGACGAATCTTTAAATTTCCATTGAAGTTATGGGCATCTCTGGACACTGGGGTATTCCCTCCTCTTCTTAAATATACATGTTTATATGTAAAATAGATACAGTTATGGCTACGGTTGAACACCCATATTAGTTGATAATTTAGATGTCACATCAGAAATGATGATTCAATGTTTCTATGTGGACCATCAATAACTCCTATTATTATCTCAAGTCAGAAAAATACTCAGGTTGAGCACCTTTATTAGTCAGTGGTACATCCATTTTGATACGGCACTTTTCAAAGGTATACCCTAAGGCATTTCACTTACGGTACCCATTTTTAATGTAGTATGGGGTGTCAACAACAGTTAAGAGGACTAGTCATATATCATATTAATGTCAGATTAGACATGATTATTGAGCAAATGACTTGAACATAAGTTTTCCATGCAGCAAATTATCAAAATCCATATAAGGTAAGGAATTGATTGTAGGTAGGTGGATGTTGAGTAGTTTGAACGCAACATCTAGATGATTTAGGCCTAATGGCAATAGATTGTACCATAAAGGGGCCTGGGTTCTCAGATTGTACCATATAGGGGCTTGGGTTCTCAGATTGTACCATAAAGGGGCATGGGTTCTCAAATTGTACCATAAAGGGGCCTGGGCTCTCAGATTGTACCATATAGGGGTATAGGGGCCTGAGTTCTCAGATTGTACCATATAGTGGCCCAGGTTCTTAGATTGTACCATAAAGGGGCCTGGGTTCTCAGATTGTACCATATAGGGGCTTGGGTTCTCAGATTGTACCATATAGTTGCCCAGGTTCTCAGATTATACCATAAAGGAGCCTGGGTTCTCAGATTGTACCATGTACATGATATAGGGGCCTGGGGATGCCAAAATACCAGCAAAATGTCTTAATACAAGAGAAATCTAACGTGCATCATGCCATTATAGCCTAATAATTTAGTCTTATTGATTGGTAATGAGAATAGTGTATGCTTAGCAGGATAATCTTATGTAATTTGTGAGGGAGTCTAATGCACTGTAACATAATCACAAGTATATCAATATAACATTCATAAATTCAATCAATAGAGTGAGTAATGGTCTTAATGTAACATTTGAATAGAGAGGAGTATCATCAAGTAGTGCACTTGTAAATGAAGATAATTTACCTACTTTGAATGTCATCAAGATTTACTTGTATGTTGTATGAGGGATCTGATTCTGGTCAATATAGTTATATTCACCCACAAAAGTAAATTGTTTTGTTTAAGAAGAGAGAGTATGAAAAAATTGAGGAGTTTTTAGTTGATTTGAAATCTACATTTTGGGACATCAAAACAGTACATCTATATATCTGTCTTTTACTGGATGCAGGAATCAATATTTTATTAAAGGGGAAGGCAAATTAACCTCTTGACTACCTTGAGTGACGAGCTTCTCATCACCTCACAAATGACCTTGAAACTCAGAGTGACAAAAAAATGCATCACAAATCTTTTAACTAAATTTTTTAACAAAAATTGTTTTAAAATGTGTAAAAAGGCACAATGAGCAACATTTGAAATAATCACTAGCCCAAACAACCAATGAAAAGGCTCTGTGATAGTTTAGTTTAGAGATGTTTTTACATAATATTATTGCATCTAATCATAGATTGTGATAGAAATCTAATATATTCAGGATGACATTAATGGGTTTGAATCTATTTCTATATGAAAACAAATGCCATCATGATAAGAGCATGTTTTTTTTGTGAAAATTGCAATTATCTATTGTCCTGTATCTATTATCTATCAAACAATGCACATCTTCTTCCATATAAAGGATTGTACCTAATGACATCATAATTATGTTAGACTTGTTTTACTTGAACATATCACAATCAATCACTTGAGAAAAAAATTCTTACCCATTTTCATGATTAAAGTGTTATGTTAATAAAAGGAAACAGCAAATAGAACTCATCTTGAGAAGGTAGACCATTGGTTTGAGTTGACGTCACATTCAGGAGTGATAAACGAATGAGCGAAGCATTCGTTGCATTAGAGGAGTCCTCATTAATGTTAATTTCGATAATTCAATGTAGTTAATCATCATTGATCAACATGAACACCTTAGTGAATCGTGATTGTGGGTGGATTGTATTTGTTGTGATTGGCACATTAATAAATATATCTACTTACCTTAGTTTATTGTCTTATGGCAGACTGACATTGCGTCATGCTGTCTTTATGAGGCGCGGCAACTTAAAAGAAGAGTTTCCTGCCTAGGTCAATATCACAGGAATACAATGGCATTTCAAATGTCCTCTCTTCCTGTCAGGTCTCTTTCATTAGAAGAGCAGCATTTCTTCTGATATGAATTACAGATCTCATGTGAGAATTATGAATTGAAGAAATTATAACACTGATATTTCATTACCCTTGCCAAGACAGATTTTCTTGTCACACTCTATAATAGATCCATCAACAAGATAACTCATTCTGTTTCTACCTACCTACATTCAATCCGAACATTGTTACATTGTGCTTTTTTATCAATCAACAAGTATTTTTGTTGATATTTTAAATTCGCTGTATTTTGCCATCTTCATCTTTACTTGTTTAGATATTTCAAATAGAAAGGCAAGAGAATTCTTATTTTGCTTCAGATATCACCTGGAAATTCAACCTGTTTGTATCAATGCCCCTTAACTAATTTCAATCTTCAGTGACCTCTAGTTTGGAGAGTACATGCTGTTGTTTTCTTGTTTTGGCTACTTTGGCATGTAGATCTCTTGAAAAGATAAAAGCTTGTTTCAATTTGCGCATTAGCATTTATAAGTGATTCATTTTAGGTTATGCTGATCTGGTAGAACCGGCATTTATTCACGATACATGAAATATTGAGTCTTCAAAGTGTGATTATCATAATCTTTAGAGTGTAATTGCAATCACTTATTCCTTTAATTTTTGTCATAGTCCTTTCCAATGGTGTAGATAACATCTCAAAATGGCTGAGGCAATTCAATTATATGAGGCCAAAAATTGAGTTAAAAGACAAACTGATTTAAGTAATTAGACAAATCGTCACAATTTCAACTGAAAATAGACGTCTGAATTATTTCAGGCAGTTATCTCGCCTACGTCATGCCTGGCTACATCTGTACTTACAGTTGTGTATCGATGTGGAGTCTCTGTAAAATCACTACCTTTTATCAAGAGTTTGGCATTTGATCTAAATGGCTTTATTTTCAGAGGGTAGCATTTTTTTTTTTTTTTTATTTATTTATTTCATTAAAACATGATAACATTTTTACATATTCGTGGTCGTGACACCTACATAGGTATATAATTGACCACATTTAAAATCGTTATTCTAAATTTTTCAAGTGCTTGAAAGTTTAACACAACATGACACTGGGTGAACCATAATTTGTCTCATGAATTAAAAACATTGGTAAAAAATAATGTACAATAAAGAGGATGGAATTACCTTATGTTTGCAGAACATCAAAATCAGTATTTTGAAAAAGTGTCATCTTTAAAAAGACGTTTTAGTTTATAAATATTATTGGTAAGTTTAATAGTATTAGGAATTTTATTCCAGATAATTTCACCTTGTACTTTAAACTGTATCTTAAATAATTGGTTTTGAATTTTGTTACATGAACTTGTTCATTCTGTCTAGTGTTGTGTTCATGAACACTATTGTTTTTTCCAAAGAAGTCAATAAAAATGTCACTTGGAAAAGAATCGGGTCTGTTAATACATTTGTAAGTTAGTTGCAGAATATTAAGGTCATATATGTCAGTAAATTTTAGAATTTTGAATTGTTTAAAGAATGGCCCGGTATGTTCTCTATTTCCGCTGTAAGTAATAATTCTTAAAAAACATTTTTGTAGTTGAAATATTGAATTCGTTGCAGTTTTGCCTGCATTTCCCCAAACACATATACAGTATTGAATTTGAGAATATATAAGTGAATAGTAAATTGATAGAAGTGTTTTTGTATTTAGTTTATGTCTACTTTTAAATAGTATCCCGATGATTTTTGATATTTTAAGCGATATTTTTTTTATATGTTCCTTCCAGTTTAAATCCTCATCAATAATTATCCCTAAGAAGTTGAATGATTGTACTCTCTCTACTAAATTATTTCTTATTTTGATCTCAATATTTTGTGGAACTTTATGTTTGCAGGTTGTATATATCATAAATTTTGTCTTCTGTACGTTAAGAGATAGCTTATTAGCACAAAACCAATCATCAATTTTATACAGTTCACAATTTAATTTAGTTATCAGATTATTTATGTTCTTATCAGAATACAAGATGTTTGTATCATCTGCAAAAACTACATATTTTAACAAAGAACTTGAACATATAATGTCATTGATATATATAATAAACAAAATAGGACCTAAGGTAGTGCCTTGTGGAACTCCACATGTGATTGATTGTTCCTGAGATTTAACATTATTATCACCATATACAGTAAATTGTTTTCGATTATTTAGATAACTTCTAAACCAATCATTAGCTTTTCCTCTAATACCATAATTCTTATATAACTAAAAATAAAAAACTTAAAATAACTAAAACTGTTTTAATATTTTCAGCAAAATGTCTTCTGTGAAAGTGGCAGTCAGGGTGCGACCCTTTAACAATCGTGAAACTTCCCGAGATGCCAAATGTATCATAGATATGAAAGGACAAACTACATGTAAGTATGATGAGTGGAAGCTAGACAAAATTTTAGTAAAATGGTATATATATCGTAGTGTTAAACTTCCACAGTTTATTTTAAAGTTGGTTGCCTGCCTCATGCCTGGTATTTGTTATATGCATTCAATTTCTCGTCAAAAAAGATTACTAATTGATTTTATAAAATAATTTACAAATGGGACAAAACATGATGGGGTTAATATCTTGATCCTCCTCTATTCCATTTGGATTAAAAGAGGACTCTGCAAAATGATAGGACCTGACAGAGATACCAGACTTGAAGGATTGGGCCTGGATTTTCAGAAAAGCCTGAACAATTATCCCACACAAGCATAGAATTCAGGATTTCCAATTCCAACATATTATTTTTGACCCTAGTGTCAATTCCCAATCTACCCATGAATTGTATTATCATGAGAGACCAGTCTGCTCAGTTCTTTTCTATTGCTAATTTGGAAACGTAAAGATGTGATGAGTATCAGAAATGGGATTGTATGATTAATTCATATTTGTTTGAGATGTCTTATACCTATTATTCTATTCCGGATTCTAAATTACCATAAGACCTTTAGTTATAGTATCTGTCTGGGTCATTGTGATACCATCTAAAAGACTCTTCTTGACACCTATAGATTGAAAATATTCATTTTGGCATTTTTTGTAATGAAAACACAGGCTATCTCACATCTCTCAAAGAGATGATATAAATACACTTATCCGCAAAGAGATGTAAATTGAGCTAAAAATCTATAATTGTAGACATTGTATGATATTTCAAGAATTGTAGCAACGTTCCTGTTTTTGTAATGCCAAATTATATTTGTCACTTATTTCTCTCCGTTTAAAATTTAAATTAAACAATTTCATTTCCTTATATTTTTATAAAATCAAGAGTATGGATTTCACATTTATTTGGTCTATTCTTGGTTAATTAGGCTATTTTTGTCTCAGTTTTGTATTTTAAAATGAGCACCCTGTCAATTTACTTGCCTACCTCTTAGCTGCCTTCATATGTCAGAGTCTTATATTTTACACGCTACATTTCCTATGTTTTATTGATTTCTACAATGACAAAATAAATATACATTAATGTTTCTATGACAACCATGACATTAGACGTCCAAAAATATCCGAGGTGTTCTGAATTATTTGCAAATAGAGAGCATACGGAAACATAACATGATTTATTATTATAAAATTATGTTAGCTTCTGAGAAGTGGTTATCTGTAAAGTGTTAAAAATGATTAATTAAAATTAATATTTTGTTTATATAATTTATTGACTCAGCATGAAGGACAAGTAAAGCAATTATAAAAAATATATAACCCAAAATTTTCATATTAATTCATATTAACAAAATCTTGCTTAAAAATCAGTACTCAGTAGGGCTGTCACAGAATGGAACGAAATAGGAACAGAATTGGTTTCGGAACCTGCTTTCAGAATTCGGAACTTTGGAATTTCTGACCTAATTGGCTTACAAAGATACAATGTTTCTTCAAGTTGTCATTGTAAGCTGCAGCTAGGCTAGGGTACAACACAGAGAATGTTTATATCAACGGCTGAGAGGTAGCAGATTCAGCATTGAGGTTTCTGTCCTTTGGGATAAGCCCCTGAATGAAACTATATCTGAGGAATCTGAGAAAGAATATTCAAATAAGAATTATTATTGTCCGCCATAATGTTTTTGTGAATGAAAAATTTCTACAAAATGAAATCGTCGTACATTAAGATATTTCCAGCGGTAGCTAAAGATTAGACAGTGTGAAATATATAAAAAAATAATGAATCAGTTATAAAGATTATTTTTCGCATATACAATAACTCTAACAACATATATTTTCAGCAGTTTCGAAAGTCTGTTTCCGAAGGTAAAATCGTATGGTTCGGACATTTGTTCCAGTCTGTGACAACCCTACTACTCAGGTCTTTGGACACCCTATCCTGTGTACTTCCCTATCTAAATGAATGTATGAATTGGGGTTGAAGAATCAAAGGGGCTTGGTGCAAGATGAGCCTTTTAATGTCAAACACTGTTATTGTTTTTTCTCTAATTTACTCATTTGTGATTTTCTTACGTTAATATAGATACTGAAGAATAATGAACAGTATCACCCAATGTTATTAGGGCTGAATAGCATGTTTTCTAGTCATTATCTAACTCTGAGATATGAGCTGAACTTTTACCTCTCCTAATCTGCAACATGTTCTTCTATGTCTAGAAATAAAATGTTAACATGATATTCTATGCCTAGAAATAAAATGTTAACATGGTATTCTATGCCTAGAAATAAAATGTTAACATGGTATTCTATGCCTAGAAATAAAATGTTAACATGGTATTCTATGCCTAGAAATAAAATGTTAACATAGTATTCCATGCTAAGAAATGAAATATCTGTACAATCTGGATCAGAATACCCATTATCCACCGAGGATTTTTAAATGCCAAATATAATTGGAAATACTATAATTGAATGATTTGAAGTGCAATACAGAATATATCCTGAATTGCACTTCAGATCATTCTATAACATTTTTTTTGTGTGATCCTCTGTATTACTACTGAGGATTGTCCCATCCGTACCAATATTTTCTGTATTGCGACACGGGGACAATTTCTGTAGCAATACAGATTGGTACAGCACAAGAACTGACCAATGAGAGGGCTTCATTTTACAGATCATACGATAAAGTAGTGTACCTCTATTATAAAGACTGGTAATTGCTGTTCTACAACAACCCTCCAAATCTAAATTCCCAAATCAATTTTTTCATTCTCAATTATTTACTTATCTTTATTGAAAAACGGGATAATTTTGCAAATGTAATAAATAAATACAATATAACAATTTCCCCCTTATTATATTGGCATAATATTCAAGTTGAATAATCACCTAATGTATGTCACCTATCTATTGTCTTCCCAAACACAACCAGAGGAGGTGAATTACTTATAAAGCAGGCTCATATGAAAGCATCTAACGAGCATACCACTAAGTAGGGTCATTACTTAGAGTAACTCATTTGAAAAAATATATTGTGCCTCTGAGCTCTGGGTGCCCTTAATGTCATGACATAATTGATTTTGAAAGTAGAAAAGTTTGAAAAGGGCACAGTGTGTCTTTCCATGTACCACATGTACCAATATCATACAAAGCCCTTTGTGACAGTGATGGATAAATACAGTTCAGCAGACAGTAGTCCTCATCTTGGATTTCCAATGTATGATGATTGAAAATCAAACTGGGAAGCGAGTATGGAGAGTCCTAGGCAATTCCTACATTGGTTTGCTTCATTGTTATTCTTCAAATTTACATTCACAAATTGAGGACATTTTCTCTATGGCCCTTCAGATATAAAGTTTTTGACATCAAATAAACACACTGAAAAATATTTAACTTAACAATTGTCTGATTAACCGGCTTTTTGCTAAACAATTGAACAAATGATGAATAAAAATTAACAGATCAATCAGATTGGCCCCCATGTGATCAGTAACGTCATACATAATTTATAGTTCATTGGTCCCTTGGTAATCACAAAGTCACAGCAATCGAAAAATTGTTATGTAAACTATAACAAAACATCTTGGAACTATGACATTATGATTCAAAGGACCAAAGCGGGCCATGTGGGCCCAGTGAAAAGCCACGTAGGCGCCAAAATACATCATAAAACTTTTAAATATTGCTTTTTAAGCAGCTTCTGAGTGTATTAAAATGAAACAGTTGCCACATAACTTTTTTTTTAATCAATAGGTTTATTTCATGTTCCCACATAACTGATTAGATGACATGTCCCAATACCACAGGCTGGTATCGAAAAATTTGTCCGCTGTGACGGAGTGTGCTATTTTGCATAGAAACACTAAGAAACTCACACAATTTATTTTTTTACTCATATGTTTCGCTATACCAAAGAAAATTTCTTACTCCATGCAATGGGTATATCATTTGCGGGTAACTTTAACTTTTGTTTGAAGTCCAAGAATGCTAAGAGTAAAAGCTATTGAAAACGGCGCCGGGGTATCATACTCCAAAATGTACAATTTCTTTTATTTCTTTTTAATGGTACAATATAGTGACACGATAATATTTACATATGTTTTCAGCATAACTCTGAAGGTATTAATGATATCTTGATGTATTGGGTATTTTTAATATTTTTTATAAAAAATAATGTTTACATTTTTTGTCCGCTGTGACGGAGCAGTTTTAACTGTGAACTACGTTAAGAATTTAAGATTCAAATTATATCTTTTAAAAGTACCCTTAGAAGAGAGAACGTCACAAATCACTTTCCTAAATTATGACAAGTAGCCTCTGGGAGATCTGGGGTAATGTAAATCTGAGATATAACTAAATACAACCACTCTCAGCATTTTTCGGAGGCTTGTACTGAAATCAACATGAATCAACATGGTGTAAACTCAACATAATATTTCTAATACGTTTTCGCCAAGACGTCTTGGAATGTCACGTGTAGTGTAAATAGGGCTAATATGAATTTATTCGAAATAGCGCACAGACATCCTGCATTCTGACAGATGTATAACCTTTTACCACATAATATTACTGTATATATAAGATGATCCCAATACAGATTTAATTTGTAATTATTTGAAATTCATGAAATTCATCGTTTTGCATAGACAAAAATTATTAAAAAAAGTCTTGGTAAACGTGCTTCACTGTAAAACCTGTATCAATGAATATCTTTCTCTAGTGAACACCTCTTCTTATAAAATATTCCTCTGACCTTGGTATGAAATTGCCTCTATATGGAGTGAACATCTACAAACTGGGAACACATTTTTGGGCTCCATACATGTATGTGTTCACTGTACACATGTTTTACTGTAGTTGCATCTTATTCAAATTAAGAACAATTTTAAAATCAAATTTTGCATTTTCGTATTTAAAGATACACTCAACTTACCTTTTGGAATGACTAAAGAGGGTAGATAACAATCCACAGTCCATACCATTATATGT